CGATAGACCGCTACGTGGACTCCAAAGCTTGATTTTCCTCTCATCTTCCCAGGTGTGGGTGATGAGGCCGCCCTGTGCCATGGGTGGCCGCGGGGCATGGCCAAGCTGTGGAGGTGGATTCCACCGCCGCCGGAGGAGGCTTTGGCGTCCCTCGGCAGGTCCATCCCTGACTTTGTCCACTCCCTAACCTGCGAGTCCTTCCCTGCTTGGTTGCTGGACAAGTGACACGAACTCAGTTTGGGAAAGCTGATGCCCAGAAAGCCCAGGGTAGAGGTCAGGGCTGTGGGCTGAATTGCTGTGTGTATAAAGCAGCCCGGGGCCCTGGCACCTGTATCGGAAACGCCAGAAGTTTGGATTAAATGGTTTCTGAAATTCTCATTCTATGCAGTTGCAAAAATGAGGACACAGCAGGGGCCGGCATGATCTGGACAAACCCAGCAGAATTGCTTCCCTTGTTCTGTGGTCAGTGACCCCACACCACACACCTGAGTGGGCACCCCTAGAATTATACAAATGGAACATATCAGTCACTCCCGCAAATTCCTTCTGTCCCTTTGTAATCCCTTCTATGCAACCATTGTCGTTTTGATTGGTTCTGTTATGCAATTTCTACAGTTATATGTAAATGAGATCATGCAATATCCACTTTCTGGCTTTTAACATAATTATTTTTGAGATTCATATTGTATCAATAATTCCTTTTTATTATTGGGCAGTATTTCACTGTATGGATATACTTATTTTATATCTATTATTTGTTTACCCAGTCATCTGTTGATGGACATTTGGGTTGTTTCCAGTTTGGGGCTATTACAAACAAAGCTATATAAAAACTTATGTGTCCGGGCGCCTGGGTGGGGTTAAGCGTCCGACTTTCGCTTAGGTCATGATCTCGCGGTTCGTGGGTTCGAGCCCCGCGTCGGGCTCTGTGCTGACTGCCAGCTCAGAGCCTGGAGCCTGTTTCAGAGTCTATGACTCCCTCTCTCTCTGACCCTCCCCTGCTCACGCTGTCTCTCTCTCTCTCTCTCTCTCTCTCTCTCTCTCTCTCTCTCTCCTAGAAATAAATAAAACATTAAAAAATAAATAAATAAAAATTAAAAAAAATAAAAATAAAAACTTCTGTGTGGACATACGCACTCATTTTTCTTGTCTCCATGTGGCTGGATGGTTTTGTGTTTCCCTGATGACCTGGTATTGAGCATCTTTTTGTGTGCTCTTGTTACTGGATATATTTTGAAGGTAGAGTTTGAGGGTAGAAACAATAGGAATTGCAGATGGATCAGATAAGTGATGTGAGAGAAGAGTCAAAAGGACTTCAACTCTGCCCAATCCCTGATTACTTATTAATATTTCTTCACTCTGGCATGCAGTGGCTATTGCCTCTGGTTGAAGTGCTATTCCCCACATTAGCTACCTTGCAAATTCCTAAACCACCAAAGTCTGGAGAGCCTTTGGTGACCCTTTTGGGTGGGCACCCACAGCCCCTGAAGTTTATCTTCACCCTTATAGATCTACTTTTCTGTTTACTCATTGTCTACCCTATTAGCTGATGAGTTTCTGGAGAGTGTGGATGGTTAGATTGACTCATAATGACTGGGCCCTGGCTGCAGCCCAGTCTCAATCATTTCAGCATATTTTCACAAACAGCATCCATTATATTTACATTTCAAATTACGGGTGCTTTATGTCAAGCTATGAGCCCACTAGCAGTATGATCATGGCAACTTTCCTGAGTTGAATATTTTGCTGTTTTTCCCCACTGAAACTCAAAGATAGGTGCTTTGCAAATAGTTACTCATAAAATCTCAATCCTTCGAGAAGTGAGTGAGAAGATTTTTCTGTAGAGGTCGGACTCCTTGCAGCAGGTAATTGAATTACTTTCCCTGCACTGGGGAATCCACCCCGTTGTAGCGACTGTGCCATTTCCGGTCTTGGTACTGGCTTCTCAGGTCTATAGCCACTTACCTGCTCTCTAGATTCTGTTCTCTACACTGAGACCCTTGAGGGTAGGGCAAAAGTATCTGAAAAATTTCCCTTTGTTTCAAAATCTCTTGATGTCCCATATCTTACTAGATACACTTCAAACTCTGGCATTGCATGTCCTCTCAGTTTTGGTCTATGCCTTACTAACTCTCTAGCCCAAATGTTAGTGTTGTAATATTTCATTCATTCAATTAAAAAAATGTGTAAAATCCCTTCTGTGAGTACCTACTAGGAGCCAAACATCATGGTAGAGATCTGAAGCTAAAAATGTGAATGTGGAGCTGTCCAGGCTCTTGAGAGAACAATGAAATTGTGGGCGGAGGGAGTATGATAAGAGAATGATGATAAGGAAGGTGCTGGGTAGATGGAGAGGAAGCCAGGCAGAAGGGCCATGTGATCCTACTTATCATTTACCTGTCTTCAATCAGTGTTTGTTTTGTGTCCAGCTTGGTGCTGGGCCCCCGAGCATTTAATAAGTAGATTTCATCTGTCTTCCCCAAGACCGAGGCAGGCCCTGGGTTTGGAGCCTGGGGTGGGGAAGATTGTGGAATAACCAAATGACTGCAGGCTCCCTGTCCAAGTTGGGCATGTCCAAGAAAGGTTTCCCAGTAGACAGCAGTCAGTAATCAATCCTGGATCCAGGGACCACTCCCAGGTGTGGCTGCACTCAGTATACCTGGGAGTCCCCTCTGCCCAGAGTATTGTTGATATGATGGTAACTGGGGAAACTCACTTGTGGAGATTACCAGATTCCATCAGGCACCAGGGTGATCTCCCTGCTCCCTGACTCACAGCACTGACTCTAGGCTTCTTAGGCTCTAGTGTATTGGTCGAGTCGGCCCCACTTCCAGATTCCAGGTGGGCTCTCCAGCTGCTTCCTGTCTCTTGCCTTGGACAAATACCTTGCCAGAGCTGCCAGGTTCTTTCTCCTGAAATACAACTAGTAATCCATGTGAGAATGTGTGTCGTGTGCAAAGCGGTTTCCTGGACTTCAAAGAACAAGCACGAGGGCAGCTGAGGAGTCATCGTCATCACCATCATCACCGCAACAACAATAACAACTAAAAGAGTATTTACTAAGGGCCAGGGATTATTCTCAGTGGTTTACACATATTAATTTGTTTAATCCTACAACCATCCTACAAAGTAGGTACCAGTGTAGTGATTAAAAGCATAGACACTAGGGGTGTCTGGGTGATTCAGTGGGTAATGTGTTCAACTCTTGGTTTTGGCTCAGGTCACGATCTTGCAGTTCCGTGGGACTGAGCCCTGAGTCGGGCTCTGGGATGGAAGTGGGGAGTCTGCTTGGGATTCTCTGTCTCCCTCTCTCTTCACTCCTCCCCTGCTCTTTGTCTCTCTCAAAATAAATAAATAAACATAAAAAAAAAGAGCATAGACTCTAGACTAGATAACCTAGGTTTGAATCCCTGCTATGCCATTTACCAGTAGTATTGGGGGTAAGAGGGACACCTGTGTGTCAGTTTCCCCATTGGCCAAAAGAGGTTCATTCTAACACTACCTCATAGCATTGTTATGAGGACTAAATGAATTAAAATTTATAACACATACAGAACAGTGGATGGCACATCCATTGTAAAAGCTATCTAAGTTTTTGATAAATCTAATTATTGCATCTGAGAAAACAGAGGTAGATGAGTTAAGTAATTTGCCTAAGATCACACAAGTAGTAAATGATGGTGCTGGGAATCAAACTCCAAGAAGTCTGGCTTCAGAGTCCACACTCTTAAATATCATGCTCTAGCAATGAAGAGGGGATGTCCGCATGAATTACTTTATGAAGGAAGTGGGTGGGGGAAGACCTGAATTAATTGATGTGGAAGCTTCTGGCACTTAAGATGTCAGTGTTCCTTCTTCTATGGTAAATGAAGTTTGCAGCAGCTGGCTAGGCTGGCCCCAGGTGGCGTGTAAGGTGGCCTTTTCCTCAGATTTCAGGAAGAGGAATCTAGCTAGGATGCAGCAGGGGCCAAAACGCTGGGGTTCAGCCAGGTTTCCCCAGGCTCCTGTCTCATAGTTCATTTACGTTCCTCTCAGAGCATTCTTCCCAGGGAGCCCGGTGTGACCTGACTCTTGGAAGGTACTTGGTAAATGGCAACTTAAAATGGAAAATGCTCGCTAAGCCTCTAAGAGTTTAAGCCCTTGAACAGTTCTGGGCCCTGGGGATACTGCGGGAATTGGGAGGCTACTTGGACTTCACCGTGCCCATAGTTCGGAGGGGAAAACGCGCTAGTCAACAAGCAGATGGTGGGCAGGGAACCCCAAGGATAGATTGGAATTCGGTGCGAGCGGCGGGAAGTGTTCCCGGCCAGATAATGGCCCACGCAGAGGCAAAAGGCCAGGAGGCTAGCTAGTTTCCTTTGGCTAGGGGCTGGGTGGTGATCTGGCAGAATCCTATAAGCCTGCTTAGGGAGTATTTTACCCTGAGGGAGGGGAGAGAGGTTTTTTTGTTCCGGAGAGGAAAGATTGGTTTTGCATTTTGGGAAGCTCACTCGGGCTGCCGGGAGTTGAGCCGAGCGAGAGCCATCGAATTCGAGGCTGGAGAGGAAGCAGGGAGACAGTTCCAAGGCACAGACCCTGCCTAGGTAGGGGTGACGTGACGGAGGAGCGGCTTGGAGTAGCGCTTAGGGTTTTTGCACAGGCCGTTTCCCCGGCCTGATTCATCCCTCCCTTTCCTCAGTCGGCTGGGTGGGCAACACCTGGGCCGCCCCGGACCCACCACACTTGGCCTAGGTCCGGGCTCAGTCAAATGGCGGCCGGTTCAGGACCGCAAATCCCAAGACCCAATGCGATCACCCCCGGCCTTCCCGGCCCCACCCCGACGCTCGCTGGGTACCCTCAGACTCGAGCTCCCGGCCCCGGGGGGCTTCAGAGCTCTGGGAGGGGGCGGAGCTCGCCTGTCCGCAGGCCCCGCCCCCGCGCAGCCTGCAGGCTCCGCCCGGCGCACGCCCGCCCGCCCGCGCGCCAGGCCCGGGCGGCGCCGACGCGCTTGGCGGGAGATAGAAAAGTGCTTCTGTGCGCGCCGGCGGCGGCCGCAGCGCCTGCGAGCGGCGGCGGGACCCGCGGACAGGCTGACGGCTCCCAGCGCGGCCCCGGGTCCCGGAGCGGCCTGAGCAGCCGCGCCTGACCCCGGCCCGGCTCCCGCTCCGGGCTCAGCCGGCGGGCGGGCGAGCGCGGCGCGGCCCGGGCCGGGGGGATGTCTCGGCGGACGCGCGGGTGAGCGGAGCCGGGCGGCAGTGGGCTCCCCCCACCTTCCCTTCCACCCTGACCCTTGCCCCCACCCCACCTCCACCCTCGCCGTGGCCCCTCCGGGCGGGGCGGGGCTTCCGCGGGAATTGCCGCGTACCGGGTAGCCCGAGGCGGGGGGGGGGGCGGCCTGCGCGAAGCCGGGGGGCTCTTAGGGTCCCCTTGCTCCGCTCCCTGGGCGTGCTGGGCCTCGGAGCCGGGGCGGGCGGGTCTCCTGGGACCCGGGCCAAGCCCTGCATGATGTCATTTTGTCTCCCGCCTAATTGCGGGGTGGGGGTGGGATGGCGGTGTCAGCTGCTAGGGCCTTTACTGGGGAGGGAGGCGACCCCTGGGGTGGGAACATGATTCTCCCTCCAAGTCGCAGCGACGGGGAAACCAAAGCCTGCAGGACTTTTAGTTATTTAGTTATTTAGCCTATTTGGATTGATACTTGGCGGAGGGCGTTTCTTCTCCACATTACGGGAAGTACAGAGCACCCCCAGCCCTCTCCGGCCTGAGAAGGGTGTCGGGGGGGAGGGGACTCTTGTGTGTCTCCCCTCCCCCCCTCCCGTCTAATCGTCCCCAACCTGAGTGTCGGGCCCCAGCTCGGTTTAGTTTCAGAGACCTGTGTTCCTGTTCCACATGAGGAGTTTGGAGCGGCAGGGGTAGAAGGTGAGGGGAAGAGGGACAGATGCATATCAAGGCCGCTCTGGGGCCAAGGCAGGAACTGCGGGCTCCATTTTACTTATTCCCCCAGAGAATAAGTGGCAGCGTGGAACCTGGAACCTCGTGTGTGGGTTCCAGGTCCCTGCCTACACCTGTGTGCCCGGGGCCTGACCTCGGCTTTTCACCAGTCTGGAAAGTCCGAGGACAAAGGGGTCCTGCCCGCCCTGTTCCCTCCCTGGAATCGGCAGCCCCTTAACCGTAACTGCCTCTTCCCTTGGTGTTTCCCCCCTCTGGCGGAGGGTGGAGACTTGAGAAGCACTCACTCCTCGAGGAGGAAGCCTCTGATCCCTGGGCAGTGGTCAGGGTGCTCTCACAGGCTCTGCCGTCCTCAGGCCACCATTTCCCAGGGCAGCTCCAGTTCCCAGGAGGAGTTTTCTGGTCAGGCACCTGTGGGAACCTGTCCTGATTTTTGGTGCTGGAAATGTTACCCCAGGGAATAACCCAAAGCCCCAGCACACCCCCAGCCCCACTGCCACTTCTCCCCTGGGGCTCAGTGGAGGACCCCCTTCCCATGTGAGGGATGGTTTGCGTCCTGGCACCCCGCAGCCCCTCAGCTCCATTCTTGGCCACTTGCTGTAACTCTCCTCTGCACCAGTGCCCCCACTTCCCGCTCGGCTTCTGACTCACACGGACTGGAGCAGAGCCCAGAACATCGAAGGGCATAGAAAGGGTGTGTTGGACCTACATGTGGCTGCCACCACCGGCTTGCTCTCTGCTTTTTCAGCTGGGATTACAGGGTGAGGGCTTGAAGATGCAGGTCTGGAGCCTGGCTTTGTGGACTTGGCGAGTGGCATCCCCCCGCCCCTTCAGCCTTAATTTCCACATCTATTAGATGGAGATATTGGGAATGCCAGTGAAGTAGAAGGTTAGCTCCATGTTGATGATATATCTTCTACACTATCTCACAAGTCTCCCAGCTGAGTTGCTTGTCCCCAGTAAAGTGTTGGAGCACCAGAGAGTGTGCTTGAAGGAACATTTACTGGGCTTCTGTTAGAATCTGTGTGCTAGAGAACTAAACATGGTTTCTGTTAGAAGTCTGGGTGCAGTTGATTTTAAAGGCAGCTTCATTCTGTTAGTATCTTGTGAAGTTTTTGCCCCCTACTTTGTGTTGGAGGAAGACCCTATGAATGGGGTCAGGGAAGACCCAGCAAGGCTGAATTCTAGCTCCTGTGACCCATGTATTCCTGGGTTTAGACACTGTCCATCCCTTCTGTTTCTACTTCGAAAAGATTTACTTTAATTAGCATTTCTTATCAACCAGTAGGCAGCAGAATTCATGTTTACTTATTAATTTGGGGACCCGGTCATTCCCTGAGCAAACATTTCTTAAGGCTTTTGGTGACAGGCCCCAAAGGGGGGGGTCTCATTCTGAGACAGGAGGCTTTCCAGGGTGTGGGAGCGCAAGTGACTCTAGGAAGATGCTGAGCTCTGGAGAAGGGGAAGGAAGATGGACATGCAAGGAAGTCCTTGTCCTTTTGGAACAAGGCTTGTGCTTGCCTTGCTTGTTTGGAAATGGCTTTTCCCGCCTACAGACACCTGACTTAGGAATGTGCCTGACAGATGACCTGAGGCAGTCCCACTGCTTGGAGTTGGGAGCTTACTAACCCTCCCCTGCCTCCGCCCCCAGCAGCTGACATTCCTAGAGGTGGATAGTGTAATTTCTATTTGCGTAATCATTAAACCAGATAAATATGGCGATTTTGGAGGAACTTGAAAAACTGCCTCTTAGAACGTAAAAACATCCCGAAGACCAGGTTGTTTGTACTTTGATTTTCCTCTCCATAAACAATGCCTGGTGTAGCCAAGGATTGGAAAATGGACATAGTCACTGACGTTATGTATTAAATATTATTCTCAGATAACCAATATTTCTTGAAATCCTGGTACTTGGTGATTGCATATATCATCAGGTTTAATCCTTAAAATCCATAAAATTTAAAACAGTTCTGTCCAAAAGAAAAATTAAAAAAAAATTTTTAAAAATAGTTGATTTATTTTTGAGAGAGAGACTTGAGTGTGAGCAGGGAAGGGGCAGAGATAGAGAAAGAGAGAGAGACACCACATAGAATCCAAAGCAGGATCCAGGCTTCGAGCTGTCAGTATAGAGCCCATTACGGGGCTCGAACCCATGAACCATGAGATCATGACCTGGGCTGAAGTCAGAAGCTCAACTGACTGAGCCACCCAGGTGCCCCCAAAAGAAAATATTAAATGGGTGTCTGGTTTGGAATATCATAATATTCTAGGTGGAGCCTTTTTTTTTTTTTTTTTTTGAAGCTTTTGAAATCATTAGGGTGTTTGTAAAAATAAAAGAAGAAAGAAGAAAATAAAAATAGCCCATAACCCCAATTCATTAAAGAATTAAAGAAAAAGACGAGGGTGGACATATCAAAAGTAGAACATAAAAGGCAGTCTCCCCTAAGCCTTTACCTAGAGATTACTGTCCATCACATAGCAGTGTGTGAGGACACATGTCCTTGACCCTTAGCTTGCTCTCCCTGCAGTGAGGAGCTGGATGAGCTGCACTACCAGGATACAGATTCAGACGTGCCAGAGCAAAGGGACAGCAAGTGCAAGGTCAAATGGACCCATGAGGAGGTGAGTGACACTGAGGGACATTTTAGGGGAGGGAGGCTGATGGCAGCTGAGAGGCTGGTCAGAGAACTGAGGTATGTCTGCCCGATGCCCTAGGGGTGTGATGAAGAGGAGCCAGCTGAAGAGATGGAGGGGTCCTCAGGTTCTCCCCAGCGCCTCTTCTCAGGGCACTCCCAGGGACTCTCCATCTTGAGGACTCTAGGGAGACTGTGTCTCAGACCTCAGGGCCAGCAGTTGCTGTTCTCTCTCTTGGAAGCTGGTGTGTTCTGCATCATGGGCGTTAATTGTGCTTCTTGACCTTTAACTGCTAATTCTGCAACCTCCTCTTTATTATTATTTTAAAAAATTGTCTTGAGACGTCCAACTCTGAATTGATTCTCTTTTTATTATTTAATCACCTTCATGGAAGTATAATTTATATACATTCGAATGCACCTTTTGACAGCGAACAGTTCAATAGTTCTGACAAGTATGTATACCCACATGACCACCACCTTGATTATCCCAGAAAGTTCCCTTTACGGTCCGTCTTCCATGGCTCCAGGCAATGACTAATGTGATGTCTCTTAGTCTGATTTGCTTTGCCTGTTCTTGAATGTCCTGTAAATGAAATCATACGGCTGTATTCTTTTCTATCTGACTTCTTTCGCTTAACGAAATAGTTGCTTGATTCAGCAATTTGTTCGTTTTTATTGCTGAATAGCATTCCATTGTATGGGTCTACCACAGTATGTTTCATTTGTTGGTGGGCCTTTGGGCTGGTTCCAGTTTGGGGCTATTGTGGTTAGAGCTCCTGGGAGGATTCTTGCTCACATCTTTTTTGAGGATTATGTTTTCATTTCTTTAGGGGAGATAACTTATGTATCGTCCTGGGGTTGCTGTAGGTTTAGTTTTATAGAAACTGCTAGACCTTTCCTAAGGCCTGGACTCTTGTTCTGTCCCCGACTCCTGCTGGCCTTATCTTTTTATTCTACCTCCTTTTTCCTGGGTAGGTTTAGTTGAGGGCTTTTCCCCCCCACTTCGTGTATGAGTTGTAAAACCTTTTGAAATCATGTTTCTTCAGAGGGGTGCTAAGCCAGCCTTTTCTGTTCATCCCACTGTGGGCCAGGAGCTATATTCAACTCTTGTTGGCCTAGAAGGACAAACAAGCTGGGGTCCCCAGCCCAGAACAGCTCTCCACTTGAGGTGGAGAGAGAAGACTGCATGAGCCTGTGGACAAGATCAGTGTATGCTCACCATCGTATCTCTCCTTCCCGTGCTGGGGCTCCCAGCACATAGGAGGCACTGGGTAATTGTGAGGGAGAGGTTAATGTTGCCTGAAGAGCTCAGGGAGTTTCATGGATAAGGATTTGGAAATCAAGTCAGGGAAGAGTACAAAATGATGAGTATATTAGAATAGGAAATGGATTATAGGTGGAGAAAGGCAAGAAGAAGGGCCCTGGTTTGGTTGAAGGGAAGAGTCCTTGAATGGATTGAATGGGTGAAAGATAGGGACAAAAAGATTGACTGGGGGCAAATCCTGAAGGGCCTTGAATGTCAGGCTCAGTGTGTAGGATTTTGAGCTAGCAGGGTGGAGCCATTGAAGGTTTTTAAAGCAGAGGAATGATCTGAACATAGCTGGGCTTAAGGGGAACTCATCTGCTGTGTGCAGAATGAATGAGATTTGGGGGCAACCTGGGGCCTGGAGACTGGTGCCCAGGGAGTGGGGGAGGGCGCTGCACCAGGCAGCTGTGGAGAGCCTGGGTCAGTGGGATGGAAGTGATAGCAGGAGGAGGCCCCTGGGGTCCAGGAGGAGATGGAGATGAAACAGAAAAATGTCCTTGCCAGTTGTCAGGACAGCAGTGCTAGAGATGGATGTGGGGACATGGGAAGAAGGAGAGTGTTGGCCTGATCAGGCCAGGTGGCAGAGGAGGGCAGGGTGTCTGGGGCTGGCTCAGCTATAGGATTTATGGGGACTTTGCCCAGCTGGTGCTGGGTTGCACTTGAGGGTCTGGATTTCTGTAGTGGCCCTGTTTTCTGTCCAGGAGTATGTGTATGTTAAAAAGCATGGAACATTCACTTTATCATTGTAGCCATTTTTAAGTATACAGGTCAGTAGTGTTAAGTATATTCCCATTGTGGAGCAGATCTTTAGAACTTCTTCGTCTTGCAAAACTGAATTTCTATACTCATTAAACACAAATTCCTCATCACCCTTCCCCCAACTCTTAGGAATCCTCTTTCTACTTTTTGTTTCTATGATTTTTGACATATTTATTTAAAATATTTATTTATTTAAGTAATCTTTATACCCAGTGTGGGGCTTGAACTTATGACCCTGATATCAAGTCGCATGCTCCTCCAACTGAGCCAGCCAGACACCCCAATTTTGATTACTTTATATATATATATACATATATATATATATATATAAACATATATTTTATTTTTGAGAGAGGGAGGGAGGAAGGGAAGGGGCAGAGGCGGCGGGGGGGCGGGTGGACAAAATCTGAGGCAGGCTCCAGGCTCTGAGCTGTCACCACAGAGCCCGAAATGGGGCTCGAACCCACAAGCTGTGAGATCATGTCCTGAGCTGAAATTGGACGCTTAACAGCCAGCCCCCCAGGCCTCCCTCCCAAGCTGATTACTTTCGATACTTCACGAGTGAAATCATATAGTATTTGTCCTTTTCTGATTGGCTTATTTCACCTGTGTCCTCCACGTTCATCTCTGTTGTAGCTTCTAATAGAATTTCCTTCTGTATTAAGGTCGAATAACATTCCATTGTATGGATATATACCATAATTTCTTTATTTGTGTATAAAATAGAAAAATCAATATGAGGAATACTTTCCATACTGAACTGCAACCATTTAAAGTACAATTCAGTGAGTTTCAGCAGATGTATAACTGTGAAACTGCCTGCACCATCCCATTATAGGACATTTTCATTAATTTCTAAACACTATTTGCTCCTCTTTGCTGTCCATCCCTTCCTCCCTCCCCTCTGATTTCAGACAACCACCGACTACGTTTTTGTTCTTACAGATTAGTTGACATTTTCTAAAATGTCATATGCCTGGAATCATGCGGTGTGCCCTCTCTTATGTCCTACTTTTTTCACGCATCCTCATAATACTGAGATTTTGTGTTGTTGGGAGAGTCAGCAGTGTATTTTCAGGAGACTATTTTAATGTCTTCTCACTAATTGTGGTTCTGCCCAAGATTCCCCATCTCCACTGCTGCGTTGCTGTCATCTCTGGCCTGGGGGCCTCTGATGGCCTCCCTTCCTCCATTCTGCCCTCTTACAGCCCTTTCCCTGAAGCTGCCGAGGTGAACTTCATAATAAGCACATCAGACTGTGACCGCACAAGTGCTCAAATGCATCAGTGGCTTTGTGTGACACAGAGGCCGAAGCGGTTTCGTGTGGGTCCGACCCCTGCCGTGCCCTCCAAAATCATTTTGCGTGCCCCTCTCACTTGCTTCCTGCATCCTGTCTGTACTAGACTATCTTTGAGCCTGTCTCTTGGTCTCCCTGAAGAGGCGGTCACCCCATACCTCTCCATTGGCCCCTAGCCAGCCACAGGACAGCTTTACTTTTGTTTGTGAGAGCCTTTGATTAGCTCCCTCTGGACTGTAATTCCCACAGGTCGGGCAGCTGCGTTGCTGCCTGTTGCTGTGTCTGTCTACCTGGCACAGCGTCGGCGCTCCCAACATGACTGCATGCGTGAATGAGGCTGTCCTTTGGGCTGCCTCCATCGTGAACGGCTGCTTTCTGCATGTGTGTGAGCTGAGCCCTCTCTTTCTGGCGTTGGCAGGACGAGCAGCTGAGGACCCTGGTGAGGCAGTTCGGGCAGCAAGACTGGAAGTTCCTGGCCAGCCACTTTCCTGTGAGTGCAGTCCCTCGGTGGCCCCCTTCCCCAGAGATAAGGGTTCTGGGTGACCAGTGTGCCTGGGACAGACTTCCTATCAAGGAGAAGAGGGTATTTCTTATCAAGCTGCCCCTGCTCCCCCTATAAAATAAAACAAGCTTTCTAAGCCCTTTCTTCCCAAGCCAGAATTTGAAAGCTCCTGTCATCAGCATCTCCACACAGCAGCCACCGCAGGCCCGGTGGTCTTTCGGCTTTGTGGTTTGCAGTGTGTGACAGTGGCACATTTGCATTTCTTCCTGTAAGAAATGCAAACAGTCTCAATAGTGAGACTGAAACTGAAGGGAAGCGTTACTTTTGGCCGGCTTCCTGGCGAGGTCCTCCCCCTCCCCCACTCCCACCACCGCCAGAGCAGCTAGAACCTCCTGGGGATGCAGGTCCCCCTTATCCCCACCCCTAGGACTGCAGGTGTCATAGGGAGGGGATGTGGCAGGAGCTGTTGTTTGGCTTATTTCCTGAGTCACTTGACAGCTCAGGGACCAAGTCAGCGGATCCTTTCTACCCCAGTCCTTGCCCTCCCTGCTTCCATGAGATCTGAAACCTTTAGGGAAATAATGCTTTCTCAGAAGCAAAACCCCCTACTTACACCACCAGCTTTTACAGGAATTTATGGCTCATGATGGCGGCCTCCTTGTGTTGGGGGACGGGAGGTAACTTCCTATAGGGAAATGTGTGTGGCATGTGGGAGTGTAGCACGTGGTAGGTGAAAGGAACGAGACAGAACCTGCCTGAGATAGGCCTGGCCTCTTAAACCCAGTGCTTGGCCAGGGTCCAAGGCTGCTTTCCTCGGAATCCTCACAGGTTCCTGTTCTTTTCCCAGAACCGCACTGACCAGCAATGCCAGTACCGGTGGCTGAGGGTCTTGAATCCAGACCTTGTCAAGGGGCCATGGACCAAAGAGGAGGACCAAAAGGTAACTATCAGGATAATGCCCTGCACACAGTGGGCCTTCACCAACCCCAGAGGATCAAGGGACGATGAGGCTGTCCTGGGGGTTGGCAAGGATGTCCGGCTGGCCCGTCTCAGGGCCGCAGTGAGGTGAGGCTCATGTGGAGAGAAGGTGCTGTGGTGGGCGTGAGGGAAGGCTGGGTCCCCCTGACTTCACAGGGGCCTTTTCCAAGGTCATTGAGCTGGTCAAAAAGTACGGCACGAAGCAGTGGACGCTGATCGCCAAGCACCTAAAGGGCCGGCTGGGGAAGCAGTGCCGTGAGCGCTGGCACAACCATCTCAACCCTGAGGTGAAGAAGTCCTGCTGGACCGAGGAAGAGGACCGCATCATCTGTGAGGCCCACAAGGTGCTGGGTAACCGCTGGGCCGAGATTGCCAAGATGCTGCCGGGGAGGTGAGCCGCCGGCAGGGGCTGGGGACCAGAGTGGGCAGGGATGTTCCTGGGAAGCGAGGGCATCTGCTGGCCTTCTAGAGGGATGTTCCAAGAGTGAGTCTGATTTCTCTGCGATTGTTCACTTTTCCCAGAAATGAATGAATCTTTCAGATTCTTTCCCAGGGGTGCCTGGGCCTGGCTGTAGGCAGTTCTGGAATAGGGCAGGGAGAAGGAGCCTGGGGACCTCACCTTCCACGTACAGATTTCTCATTTGGTCTCTGTTGGAGCTTTTGCACCATCCCTGCCCTCTGCCAGGGTTGTGAGGTCTTTTTTCTAGAGAATAAACCTCTCTTCTCTTACCCATGTGGTCAGGGCCAGGATCTAGACCTGAGAACCACTGCTCAGTTTTCTATTCCTTGCTGGACCTTGTCCCTCCAAGAGCTTCTTGAGTTTTTGGGGAAGCACTGGAAGGACTTGGCTCAATTCTTGCCAGAGTCTTCCTCCAGGGTCAACTCCCAGTCTCCCAAGTTGCTTATTGCTCCCCTAACTGCTTTCCATCTTCTGAAAACTTGGAAAAATCTTTTCTTTGAGGCTGTGCTTTACCCTGTTCTCCGTGTCCTTGTGCATTTCCCCCTCACCCAGTTCTGAATCCTTTTGTCTGTCATGGGACTGTGGTCCTGAGAAGGACAGAAGATAAAATGCTGGATGGTGTTAATTCCCCTGAAGTCTCGAACGGTCTATGTTCAAAACTCAAACCCAGTGTGTTATTCGTTTGATGCTTCTCCTAACACTTGGGTTGAAGACTCGGGCCTCTTTCCCGGTGTGGCCTGCTGGGTCTGGCTGGCCACCAGCCTGGCCTTGATGCACTATAACCCTGCCTTACCTGTTGCACTGTAGCTGCTCTGCCCACCTCTCAGCCCCTTTAGGCCCCGCAGCCATGTTGAGCTCCTTCTGAGAGCGACCTTGTGCTCCTGCGCCAGCCTGGAACACACTCTGCATGTGCCCCTGTGTAGCCAACACACTCTCCTCCTTCAGTCCTTGGTGAGGGGGTGTTATTTTCTCAGAGAAGATTTCTCTGTCCTTCCAGACGTTCCCCAGCGACCTCCCCATAGCGCCCACACCCATGCCTGGTCAGCGTTCTGTCCTGAGGGCCTCAGTGGGACTGTTTGGAGATGCAGACCTCTCTTTAACTGGTTGTTCAGTCCAGCTGTTGGTGTGTGCTCACAGTTCAGGGGAAGAGCTAACTGTTCACAGTTAGGGGAAAAGCACTTTGCTTGGACCTCCGAGGAAGGAAGTGCCGACTGTGTGCCTGCATATCTGTATTCCAGTATGTGCTGTACTGTAAACTGCCTCGTGCTGCTTACCACTGTGCTGCCGTGCACTTCCGTGGTGCTCCCCTTTCTGTGCTTCTCTACAGCGGCTGCGCTGCCGTGGGCTTCCGTGGTGCTGTCCTCTCTGTGCTTCCATCCTGTGGCTCTGCTGCCGTGGGCTTCCGTGGTGCTGTTCTCTCCATGCTTCCGTACAGCGGCTGTGCTGCGGTGGGCTTCTGTGGTGCTGCTCTCCGTGCTTCTGTCCTGTGTCTGCGCTCCCGTGGGCTTCCGTGGTGCTGCTCTCTCCATGCTTCCCTACAGCGTCTGTGCTGCCTTGGGCTTCTGTGGTACTGTTCTCTCTGTGCTTCTATCCTGTGGCTGCGCTGCCGTGGGATTCCGTGGTTCTGTACCACCTGTATCTGTGCACGGCTTCAGCACCATATGCGCTTCCATACTGCTGTTCTAGCTTGTGCTTCTGTACTGCCCTACTGCCACGCGCTGCTACCACTGTATGGCTGTCGGGTGGTTCTATTTATACTTCTCTACTGCTATACTACCCTGTTCTCTACTAATCTGCTGCCATGTGCTGCTGCTGCTCCACTGCTGTATGCTACCACAGTGCTCTGCTGCTCTAGACTTCTAAACCTCATACGCTCCGTTGGCTGTACTGTTCTATATTTCCATGCCACAATGCACTTTTCTGCTGCTCTGCACTTCTTTCTGCACCAATCTCCCCTTCTGTCACTGCACTCTCCTGTACTTCCATACTGCTCTATTTTTCTTTCATGTTTGTTTATTTTGAGAGAGAAGGACAGAGTGTGAGCAGGGGAGGGGCAGAGAGAGAGGGAGACACAGAATCTGAAGCAGGCCCCAGGCTCTGAGCTGTCAGCACAGAGCCTGATGTAGGGCTCCAACCTATGAACTGCGAGATCATGACCTAAACTGAAGCCGGACACTTAACCGACTGAGCCACCGGTGTGCCCCTCTGTACTGCTCTATTACTCTGTGCTCTGTAGCATTGTGCTGCTCTGCACTTTTTACTATTATATATGTGTCTCTTCGAATAATCTTTAGTAAGTGATGGAGTGTGAAGTAGTCTCTTGATTCTACAGAGAAAGTAGCTGAAATTCAGGGGACCTGTGTTAGACCCTCTGTGTCATTTAGCTCTGCCCTCTGTGGCTATTTTGCAGTTTGGGAGGTGAACAAGGGCTGTATTCCAGGTCACTGTGAGCCTCAAAGTGGAGGTCAGCAGCCAGGGTTTTGCTTCTAGTTTCTACAGGTACAAAGTGAACAGGGAAGGGAATGAGAGCTTGAAAACATTACAGTTGTATGATTTTCCCATAGACTGAATAGAACCTTTGCTTGTTTTGCTGAGATTAGTGGAAATCTGTAAATTGTTGAGAGCTAGAAACGTGTAACTTCATCTTAGAGCTAAGAGACCTCAGAGTCGTCAGGTTGAACCCTCGTTTACAGAAGTGGGAACGCAGCTTAGGAATGTCAGTGACCTGTCAGGCGGCATACTGCCTGCAGAGTTCAAAGGCCCCCTGTTGGCCCCTACAGGACAGACAATGCTGTGAAGAATCACTGGAACTCCACCATCAAAAGGAAGGTGGACACCGGTGGCTTCCTGAGTGAGTCCAAAGACTGCAAGCCCCCTGTGTACTTGCTGCTGGAGCTTGAGGACAAGGACAGCTTCCAGAGTGCCCGCCCTGTGGAAGACCAGGTGAGGTGGTGGCCTGAGGCCACTCAGCCGCAGGGCTTGGTTCTGGGTTTGTCGGGTTGTGTGTTCATCCAAGACCATCTCATTTAATGCCTGTTCTTTCCTTTTCATCTTACTTTCCTTTCCATCTTACTTAGCCACAGCTGTTCATTAGTTCCTGCCACAAGATCTCATGTGGGCCGCACCTCTCATCAGGGCCTTCCCTTGTCCCAGAATTCTGTGCATACCTGACACCTGTTTGTACACAAGTGAAGTACAATAGAGCAAGCTGACCTACGAAATGGAGGATTGGGTTGAAGAGGTCCTAAACCTCCTTTTGTCCAGCGGCTTCCTTCCTACCTGTTGCTCTTTCCAGGTTTTTCATACAAAAAGCATATTTGCAATGAAAAAAATTAGAGTTATCGAGGTATAATTCACATACAGTAAAATCTTCTGAGTTTAGTGTATAGTTCTTTTTTTATTTTATTTTTTATTTTTAAGAGAGAGAGAGCATGCAAGTGAAGAAGGAGCGGGGGGAGGGAGGGTGAGAGAGAATCCCAAGCACACCCCACACCACCAGGGCAGAGCCTGATGCAGGACTCCAACCCATGAACTGTAAGATCATGACCTGAGCCAAAGTCAGATGCTTAACCGACTGAGCCACCCAATGCCCCTATGCAGTTCTTTTTTTTTAAGTTTTACTTTCTCTTTCCTGATTTTTTTGAGTTTGTTTATTTTTGAGAGCAAGTGAGCGGGGGAGGGGCAGAGAGAGAGGGAGACAGAAAATCCCAAGCAGGCTCTGTGCTGTCAGTGCACAAATATGGTATTGCATTTGCAGTTGCAGAAATGTAACCAGTATGTGGATGTTTATATCTCCTATCCTACACTCTGGAGCAAACCTTTATTGATATTTTTAAGCTATATCTCTAATGATTTATTCTTTTTTTTTTTCTCTTTTAAAAAATGTTTATATATTTATTTTTGAGAGAGAATCCCAAGCAGGCCCTTCACTCTCAGTGTGGGGCCCAATTTGGGGCTTGAATCATAAACCATGATATCATGACCTGAACCAGAGTTGCATGCTTAGCCAGCTGAGCCACTCAGGTACCTGTCCAATGATTTATTCTTTTTTTTATATTTAATGTTTGTATATTTTTGAGAGAGACAGAGCATAAGTGGGGTAGGGGCAGAGAAAGAAGGAGACAGAATCTGAAGCAGGCTCCAGGCTCTGAGCTGTCAGCACGGAGACTGATGTGGGGCTCAAGCTCATAAACCGTGAGATCATGACCTGAGCCGAAATCAGACACTTAACTGACTGAGCCACCCAAGCGCCCGTCTAATGATTTGTTCTTGAAAAATTAAGATTTGGGGCACCTGACTGACTCAGTCTGAAGAGCATGTGACTCCTGATCTCGAGGTCGTGAGTTCAGGCTCCACGTTGGGTATTAGAGATTACACACACACACACACACACACACAAAAACAAACTTAAAAAAATTTGAAGCAAAAGTGTCCAAGAATCAAGATTCAACAATGCTGAGTATGTGGTAGGTAATACTTGCTCTGTACTCTGTTCCAGTCTCTTCTGTGGTGAATGAGTGAATAATCTTATTTTATTTTCTTTATGAGAGGAGAGCATGAGTGGGGAAGGGCCAGAGGGAGAAGGAGGGAGAGGGAGAATTTTAAGTAGGCTCCACGCCCAGTGCAGAGCCTGACTCGTCCTAACATGGGCTTAATCTCACAACTGTGAGTTGATATCAGGAGTTGGACACTTAACCAACTGAGCCACCCAGGCATCCCATAAATAATAATCTTTTTTTTTTTTTTTTTTTTTTACCGCTCCCCTTTCCCTTTTCCTTCCTGCTAGGTAGAAGTTGTGCACCACTCTAGTTTTAGCTCCAGTTCTACGATGCCCTACTGGAGCATTACATAATGTTTTTGCTTCTTTTCTTGATTTTTCAACTTGAGAGAGATTATCTCCTGATTCCCTGGTACAGATGCTCCTGTGGAGTAACAAACAGTAGAGAATGAAAAGTAAATTGACTTCTTCCGGTTTGGACTCCCCACACATCCCCTAACCAGAGGAGTCTACTTCTGACGCTTTCCGGTGTATCTAAGTAATATGTTTCAAGCCTTTTACTTCTGATTGAAGAAGCATACGTTCCACAGAGAGAAACAGTGGGCATCAGCAGATACCAGGTCACCTTTCAGGATAGGGGAAATGGATAGACCTTCCTCAGTCTCTGAAAATCCAACTTGGTTGAAAGTCTGTGTATTGGCTTGGTTTTTGCCCCTGGCACTTTGTGTCTTGCATCTGGAGCGCTGGCCTTGCTGGGCCAGAATGAGCCTAGATCATGACCCTGAGCACCAGAGGTCAGTTCATCTCCAGCATCATTTTCATGGTTCTATTGTGCTGTTTATTTAATTATGGTTATATCTAAGTTTTAAAATTAGAAACAAAACTTTAATGACTGTCCTTGGAGCTAAAATCACTGCTCATGTGCTCGGTTATATCTTTAGGAATTCCTGGAGATGAGTTTAGACACATTCTTGAAAAACTTCTTTTATTTATTTATTTATTTATTTATTTATTTATTTATTTATTTATTTTTCTTGAAAAACTTCTAATATGTTTTGCTAGATTATCTTCCAGAAAAAGATTTGCCTATTAATGTGCTCATGGGACTACGGTCCTGTTCTCCCCACTCACTGGTCAGTACTTACAGTTATAATTCTCGTCCTTGTCCTTCGAAAGCAATGCATGATCATTGTAAAGAGTTACAAACTATAGAATTGAATATTATGGAAGGTGAGCCTGCTAATCTCAACTGTCACAGAGAACCAATATATCGTTTAACGTGTTTGCCAACATTTTTTACTAAGGGCAAAAAGGTTAAAATGAGATTGTTATATTTTACTGCCTTACATGTTTTTTAAACCTTTCCATGTCATTGTGTGTATACAGATCTCTATACCATTCTTGACTCTGTCACGTCTTATAACCTATTGATGAACATGTGTCACCATTTCTGTTCATATGCAGCAATGAACATCATTGTTCAAGTTCTTTGTACATTTACCTGTTTATATGGCTTAGTTTTACAGATGTGGCATGACTGGGTCAAGTGGTATGGACATTCGAGATTTTCATAGGTCTCACCAAATTGCCATTCGAGTGGTGGCACCATTTTATCCCGTCAGCAACACATGGCATTGCCTGTTTTCCCACACTGTTGTCACCACTGGCTGTGATTATATGAAAAAATCTTTGCCAGTTTTATGAGCAACTGTGAAGTATCTTTTGGTTTTGATTTCTTTTACTACTGGTGAGGTTGACCATTTTTCTTTAATGAGTTGCTTTTCACTTCTTTTTTTGTCTTTTTAATAATTTGCAAACTTTTATTTATATATCAAGAATATAACTTTTATCATGTAGTAGCTTCGTTTTCCCAGTTTGGGAAACTTGGAGCTTCCTCATCCCTTCACTTTATAAAAGTGTAGTTTATAGGGGCGCCTGGGTGGCCCAGACGGTTAAGCGTCTGACATCGGCTCAGGTAATGATCTCATGGTTCGTGGGTTCGAGCTCTGCGTCGGACTCTGTGCTGACAGCTAGCTGAGAGCGTGGAGCCTGCTTCGGATTCTGTATCTCCCTCTATCTCTGACACTCCCCTGCTCACGCTGCCTCTCTCTCTCTCTCTCTCTCTCTCAGAAATAGATAAAACATTAAAAAAAAAGTGTAGTTTACAGACAGTAAAATTCACCCTTTTAGTACACAGTTCTGTGAATTTTGACAAATGTAACTACAGTCAAGGTGGAGGGCATTTCCATCACCGCCTAAAATTCCCAAGTCCCCAGCCCTTGGCAACCACTTACCTATTTACTGTCTCTATGTAGTTTTATCTTAGTAAGGATGTCATACAAATGGAATTGTACAGTCTGTACTCTTCTGTGACTGTGTTTGTCAGTGATTTGTTCCTTTTTATTGCTGAGTGATATTCTGTCATGCAGGTACCACTCTATCTGTTTACCAGCTGAGACATGTTGTTTCTAGCTAATATTTACAAATAAAGCTACTATAAGCATCTGTATACAGGATTTTGTGTGAACATGAGTTTTCATTTCTCCTGGGTAAATATCTAGAGGTGGGATTGCTGGGTCATACGTTAAGTGTATTCTGAATTCTATATGAAATCGCCAAGCCATTTTCAATGTGGCTATTTTCTGAAGTGGGATTCCCACATTCGAACCTTTAAATAGTGTTTATGGTATTCTTTCTTTCTCCAGTTGTAGCAGTTATAAGTTTTTAATCGAATCTGATGTTTTGTTTATTTGTTTATTTATTTTGAGAGAGAGCACACCATGCTTATGAGCAGGGAAGGGGCACAGAGAGGAGAGAAAATCCAAAGCAGGTTCTGTGCTGTCAGCGTGGAGCCCAACAGGGGGCTCAGTCTCCCGAAACTGCGAGGTAGATCATGACCTGAGCAGAATCAAGAGTCAGATGCTTAACCAACTGAGCCACTCAGGCACCCCAATCAAATCTGTTCTTATCTGCTTTTCTTTCTTTGCTTGTATCACAAACCATTTCCATCCTGTTCACTTGACAACAATAGTGATAATAGCTACTGTTTAGATTGGGCCCTTTTCATGTCGTTGGATGATTTTCATAACATCCTTGCATGGTAAGCCTTAGTGTCCTCATTTTATTTATTTTATTTAAAAAATTTTTTTAATGTTTTGTTTTGAGAGAGAGAGAGAGAGAGACAACGTGAGCAGGAGAGGATCAGAGAGAGGGAGATACAGACTCTGAAGACAGGTTCCAGTCTCTGAGCTAGCTGTCAGCACAGAGCCCTACGCAGGGCTCAAACCCACAAACCATGAAATCATGACCTGAGCCAAAGTCAGACACTCAACCGACTGAGCCACCCAGGTGCCCCAATTTTCTTGCCTTATTTTACAGGCAAGAAAATTGAATGGGCAGGTCACACAGCTTGCCCAAGATCAGCTAGCAGAAATGGCCAAGCTCTGGTTGAATCCAGAGCCCATGTCCTTTCTCTGATGCCATTGCACCCCTCCCATTGAGACGGGATAGCACTCCTTGCCCTCTGGGATGCCTTGTTAATCACATGCTGTTTTCAAGGCTACACTAAAATCTGCTGGGTTAACGTGTTGGCCTCAGTTCCAAGGTTCTGCCAGGAAAGCTATTGCCATATATGATTTTCCTCTACTTCTTGTCTTTTTTTTTTTTTTTTTGATCACAAAATTAGTATATACTCATTTTCCAAACATTTATTTTGAAATAATATTAAGCATACAGGAATAGTACAAAGAACTCCCATAATACTCTACTAGATTCATTAGTTGTGTGGGGGTTTTCTTCAAGAATTTTTTTTTTTAAGTAATCTCTGTACCCAACATGGGGCTCGAACTTAGAACCTTGAGATCAAGATCAAGATTCACATGCTCCGACTAATCCAGCCAGGCGCCCCTAGATTCATTAGTTTTTAACATTTGCCAGATTTGCTTTATCTGTATACACTTACTGCTTTTTTGTCTGAGCCATTTGAGAAGCCAGTTACATGTACTTAACCTCTCTATCCCTTAATATACTGAATCTGTGTTTCCTAAGAATAAGGACATTTGCTTACATACTCACAGTAGGCTTCTATCCAGTTGAGGGATTTTTAACGCTGAATCAGGACTTTTAACTAATCTACAGTCTATATTCCATTTTCCTGCCCACATTAAAGATAAGACTTTAATTAGTTGTTGTATCTCTTTTGTCTGCTTTTATCTGGAATAGTTCATCAGCCTTTCTTAACCTTTCGTGATGTTCATACCTTTGAAGTATGTTATTTTGTAGACTGCCTCTCAGTTTAGATTCATCTGAGTTTCCTTGTTAGATTCAGATTATGTTTTTTTAAAAATTTGATTAAATTTTTTAAATTAAGTAACCTCTACACCCAATGGGGAGCTCAAACTCCTGACCCTGAGATCAAGAGTCCCGTACTCTACCAACTAAGCCAGCCAGGTGCCCTGGGGTGTGTGATTTTAGGTGGAATACTACATAGTGTGTATCTGATAACTAGAACTCCACAAACAGGGTGCCCTTGTGTCCAACAGGGAAGTCTCGTGACCAACTGGCCCTCAGCGCTTCCTGCCGTGAAGGAAGAGGAAAGCAGTGAGGAGGAGGCCATGGCAGCCTCTACTTCTAAGGGGCAGGGAGCTGTCCCTGCAGACCTGGATGGAGTGCGAACACCAGAGCCCTTGGAAGACTTCCCCAAGCGTGAAGACCAGGAGGGCTCCTCACCAGAAACCAGCCTGCCCTACAAGTGGGTGGTGGAGGCTGCAAACCTCCTCATCCCTGCCGTGGAGTCCAGCCTCTCGGAAGCCCTGGACTTGATCGAGTCGGTAATGTTGGTCACAGCACTTCACAGTGGGCCCAGAGCGTGCACCAGCTGGGCCTGCTCTCGTGGGCAGGCATCCTTTCTGTTCACTCCATCGTTCTGCCAACATATCCTGAGGTGATGCTGAGTGCTTGTCTGGGAGCCAGGGCCTGGGGACACAGATAATTGCTGGGCAGCCCCTGTCCTCAGGGACCTCCTGACTTGTGCTATATGGTGCAGGTGGGGTGGGAGGGCTCCCCAGAGGAGGTGACATTGCACTGAGACCTCCAGGACGGAAAGGGGAGGGTGTTTGAGGTCTGTAACTCAGCATGGGAGAGCACAGTGCTTGAGGCACCACGTATGGGGGCTGGGACTGGGGTGCCGAGGGGTTTCTGGTAACTCAGGCTGCACTAGTTGTGGATCGTACCTCTTGGGAGGGAGCTCCTTAGTGGGGGCTGAACCTCTTGATGTGACATCCTAGCTCTTAGCTGTGTCAGCCAAGCCTGCTGTGTAGAGTGAGTTTCAGGAGGTGATGCAAGAGGCCTGGCAACCAAGGGCAGTGGAGTTCAGGGTAAGGCACCCCACATTCACCTTCCCACTTGGGTTTTCCCATCCACGCTAAGAATAATGATGCTGTTTATGGAACATCTACTAAATGCCAGGCTCTGGCTTTAATGTAGAATCCATACAGTATCCTGTAAGGTATGTCCTTACTCTCTGTTTTGTAGGTAAGACTGAGGCTCAGAGAGGTCAAGTAGTATCCGTACAGTCACACTGCGAGTAAGTGTGGTGGTCTTGACTGTCTTGACCACCTCGTCTCCAGACCTAGCTGCAGGGTCCAGCTGTGGTATCCCCTCCACTCCAAGAAATTTCAGAGTGGCATGAGAGGCAGGTCTAACATGTTCCTCAATATGTTCAATAAATAGCCCTGAGGCTGCGAGTAAGTGTGGTGGTCTTGACTGTCTTGACCACTTCATCTCCAGACCTAGCTGCAGGGTCCAGCTGTGGTGTCCCCTCCACTCCAAGAAATTTCAGAGTGGCATGAGAGGCAGGTCTAACATGTTCCTCAATATGTTCAATAAATAGCCCTGAGGCTGCCGCGTGCAGTCCCTGATTCAGGCCCTAAGGGGAGAGTTGGATGAAAGTTGGTCCACTCCATGCCTGGCACTGTTGGCATTTCATGGTGTTACCTGCCTTCATCCTCAGACTGTTCTGCATCCTCTTCCACTTGGGAGGGGGGGGGAGCTCAGTTTTATTGAGCACTCACTGTATGCCAGGCCAAATGCTTCATTAGTAACTACAGAAGCTGGCATTTCAGTGCCCACTATGTGCCAGGCTCGTTACTTGCTACCTAACATGCATGCTCTTATACAGCGTTTGTGGAAACATTGCTGACTGTTCCCTCAGGCAGTCCTTGTAGGATATGCTTCTGGTCCATTAGAACCATCAGTCTGGGGCCTCCTCAAGGTTGGGGTTTGCTGCTGGGAGTGTGGGGCCTGCAATCAGCGCTGCCCTGAGATGGCCTCCACCCTTAGGAATAACTGCCCAGGTTCCTGTGAGTCCCAAGGACCAGCAGTCACCACAGAGGTCTGGGTCTACTCCGGACCAGACCTCCAGGGACCAAAGTGGAAGGTTCGGTCTCCAGCAGCCCTGTGGGTGGGTTGTAATTTACTGGGCAAAGGAAGAAAGAGCTGGGTATGACTCTTGGAATGCTTCTAGAAACTTAGTGACTTTAGCAGATTGTACACTCTCTGGCCTGGAAGGGAGGAAGGTAATGCTTGCCTGGCAGGATTGTTGTGAGATTGGAGACAACTTAGGTGAAGTGGCCAAGGAGGTGCGATGACTGACAGGTACATGGAGCACAGTGGAGCACATTCTCCAGGAATGTGGCCATGCAGATCAAGACCCTTAAACCCAGTCACACAGCCTCGGGCCTAAGACCCCACTTGTAGGAGTCTCCTTCAAGGAAGTGACCAAAAATGCAGGAGAAGATCCGTATCCAAGATGTTCATGAAGGTGTTAGTTTTACTTTTTTAAAAATTGGAGCGCCTACGTGGCTCAGTTGGTTAAGCCTCTGCCTCTTGGTTTTGGCTCAGGTCATGATCTCACAGTTGGTGAGTTCGAGCCCTGCTCTACACTGACAGCATGGAACCTGCTTGGGATTCTCTGTCTCCCTCTCTTTCTCTACCTCTCCCCCACTTGCTATCTCTCTTAAAATAAATAAATAGACATTTTTTAAAAATAGGGGGGAAATGTCCAACAGAAGAGGGGAATAGTTAAGTAACTGATATTCATATAATGGAATATTTTACAGTCATAAAAAGTGTTATAGAAATTGAAAATGTATTATATAACTGATACTTATTAATAGTAAATATCTAACTCATAGATAATAGAATTAGGTGTTATTATTGTAATTTTAAGTGGAGAAAAAGCAGGATGTAGAAGTGATTTATTCTAAGATTAAAAACATGCAGAATCCTAGCTATCATTTAGGGAGCTGTGTAAGTGGTAAAATGATAAATGCATGATGATGGTAAATAGGTCAGGCAGAGGATGTGAACAAGGGAGGTGGGCCTGGGGCTTCAGTGATTAGGTTTTTATTTCCTAGACTTCTGATGGGTGTCTGAGTTTTCTTTGTGCTTTTTGTATATATTATGTGTTGATTTTTTTTAAAATTGTTCATTTTTTAACTTTGATTCTTTTAATAAGCATATTTTATTAAGCACTTTTAAAAAAAAATGTTTATTTTGAGAGAGAGTAAGCAGGGCAAGGGCAGAGAGAGGGAGAAAGAGAATCCCAAGCAAGGTCTCCACTGTCAGCACAGAGCCTGATGCTGGGCTTGATCTCATGAACTGTAAGATCATAACCTGAGCTGAAATCAAGATTCAGATGCTTAACCAACTGAGCAACTCAGGTGCCCTCGCATTGCTTTTTAAAAAGTAACAGGGGTGTCTGTGTAGCTCGGCCGGTTAGGTGTCTGACTTCGGCTCAGGTCATGATCTCATAGTTCATGGGTTCGAGCCTCATATCAGGCTCTGTGCTGACAGCTCAGAGCCTGGAGCCTGCTTCACTTTATGTGTCTCCGTCTCTCTTTGCCCTGCTTGCACTCTGACTCTCTCTCTCAAAAATAAATAACATTAAGCAAAGAAGAAAATAAAAAAACAGTGAGCAGCCATGTGTGCAATATGACTTTCGGTATGTTTGCAAATAGAGATATACAGATGTAGAGGACTCCTCAAGGAAACACAAGAAAACGTTGGGAAAGCAGAGTGTTGCAGTGATTCCTAACCTCACTCTCTGGGCAGGACCCTGATGCCTGGTGTGACCTGAGTAAATTTGACCTGCCCGAGGAGCCGTCCGCAGAGGGCAGCAGCAGCAGCAGCCCAGTGCAGCCACAGCCAACACAGCAGCAGCAGCAGCAGCAGGCACTGCTGGCCCGCCAGCCTGCTGCCCTGGTGCCCAGTGTGACTGAGTACCGTCTGGACGGCCACACCATCTCAGACCTGAGCCGGAGCAGCCGGGGCGAGCTGATCCCCATTTCTCCCAGCACTGAAGTGGGGGGCTTGGGCACTGGCACACCGCCCTCGGTGCTCAAGCGGCAGAAGAAGCGGCGTGTCGCCCTGTCCCCTGTCACGGAGAACAGCGCTAGCCTGTCCTTCATGGACTCCTGTAACAGCCTCACCCCCAAGAGCACACCTGTCAAGACCCTGCCCTTCTCACCCTCCCAGGTGTGTGGACCCCCACCCTGACTGCTCCCTGGGTTCGGTGTGCAGATTCCCGGTGTCCGGTACAGGGACTGGCACATAAGCAGACGTCATTCAGCACATCTTCACTGAGCACCTGCTGTGTGCCAGGCCCTGTGCTAGGTGCTGGAGATGTAGAGTGAGCAAAAACAGGCCTAGGTCCAGCCTCATGAAGTTTATTCCCTGGTGGGAACACCATTTAACAGGAAAGATGCAAATAAATGTAACACTTGGTATGAAGGAGAAGGCTTACAAGTTTGCGAGGGCATTTAGTCTAGGGGGAAGGGGTCATCTTGAGGGCTTGCTTGGCCAGCAAGGGGGAACTGAGCAAAGAAGAGAACAGACTCAATATTTGCTAGAAGAATCTTTTTAATTGTATACCTGCTCATAGCAGATTTGCTAGCCCTGGGGTGCAAATGTGAGGATGACATAACCATGCCCTTGACGAGGGTGGTGAATACTGAGAGCAGCCTTGTAATTACTTGAATAGAATGGGGTGTGGGAAGTGCTATGGTCATTGAGAGCTTATTGTGTCCTGGATGCTGCTTCTTGGGGCTCTGTAATGAAAGTACTGTTGGGGAGAGCTAAGAAGGGATCCTATCTTCCCTACAGGTCTGGAAGGCCGTTAGAGCTCCCGAGAGAGATGTTTGAGCTGGGTTTTGTCAGCTTGAACAAAGCCCTGGAGATGAGGGAGCAGAGTCTGATGTGAAGTCCAGAGCCAGGGGAAGATGAGGAGGTTGGGGGATGGGGTGGGGGTTTTGGAGGGCTTTAGGTGTGAGTGAGGGGTATGCACTGCCCTGGCAGCCAAGAGGGTGGTGGGGCTCTAGGAGGGTGGACTGGAAGAGCTGGCGAGGGAGGCAGGCTGTGGAGGTCCCATGTCTCCAGACCGGAAGAGGGTGGGCGGAGGCTTTGGATCTCACTACGTCTGGTCCCTGAGCTGTGGGAGAGAGCTAGGCCCAGACGTGGCACATTTTAGGAGACTAACCCCAACATTTGTCCAAGGCTCAAGCCCAGGCCAGTGTTGGGGGCGATTAGTGGTATTTTTCTGTGAGGCCCTGTGTTCATCATGGGTATCCTAACAAAGTACCTAGATCAGGGGGCTTAAATAATAGAAATTTCATCTTCTCATAGTTTTGGAGGCTGAGATTAAGCATTGGCAGGTTCAGGTTTTTTTGGAGGCCTCTCTGGGTTGTAGACAGCTGTCTCCTCCCTGTGTCTTCACATGGTGTCCCTTTGTGTATGTGTCTGTGTCCTGATCTCTTATAATTTCTTACCTCCTTCTCATAGAATTTCTAAGGACACCAGTCATGTTGGATGAGGGCTCACGCTATGGCTTTGTTTCCCCTTAATCATGTCTTTTTGAAGGCTCTGTCTCCAAATGTAGTCACACTCTGAGGTCCTGTAGGTCAGGGTTTCAACGTAGGAATTTGGAGGGGGACAATACACCATTCAGCCCATACATAGCAGGCCTCAAGTAAAGGCATCTGACGAGAGAAGGAAGACGGTGAGCCCTGAGTTGCCCAACAGACAGCCCAGGGTGATGGGAACCCTGCTCAGGGTCACGGACCCAAGGGCTGCACGTGGCCCTGGGTTTCCAGGGACACCTTCAGGGCAGAGACAGAGAGAGTAGTGTCGCAGACTTGGCTCAGATCTGGATTTGAGTCTCTAGCACTCAGCGCAAGAACCTTTACCTCTGTAAGGCCCTGCTTCCTTATCTGTAAAATCAGGTGTCATAATAGCACCTACGTCACAGAAGATCTGTCAAAACTGTAAGACATTCTTGGTGTGAATGCTAAGCCCTGGTGTGAGGAGGTGCTCCCATCACCACGACCATTGTCACTGTCCCCGGTCCACAGGTCATGTAAGAGCTAGTCTTACTTCTGAAAAGGAGCTGCTCTCAGACTGTCAGCTTTCTTTGTCCTGACTGTATGGTCATCAGTGCTGTGAGCACAGGCATGGGGGAGGGGACCTCCCCCAGCATTGCAAAAGCAAAGACTTGGGGCAGTAACAATCCCAGGAGTCTATGCGGTCCTAGCTGATGGGTCTTGTGAGTCTCTTGGTCTTTATTCTGCTCCCAGGTCAGGAGGAGCACTCTGTCAGAGAGCAGGGGGTAGGGGCCTAGGGTCTCACCCCACCCCTGCAGGTTGTCACTTTGTCATGTTTCCATCCACTTCCCTGGCAGTTTCTGAACTTCTGGAACAAACAGGACACACTGGAGCTGGAGAGCCCCTCGCTGACGTCCACCCCCGTGTGCAGCCAGAAGGTGGTCGTCACCACTCCACTGCACCGGGATAAGACACCCCTGCACCAGAAGCATGCTGCGTGAGTGCTGTACCGACCCACCCCTGCCAGCCCAGGAGCTTGGGCCCCACCCTCTCCCCAAGCCAGGACCAGGATCACCTGTAGAGAAACTTCTGAGACTGTTTCAAGAAGGCAGCCTCCTTCTGGCTACCATGCCTCTTGGTTTTTGTCAGGATAGGCTGGGGCTTCATCTTTGTTCTTCCTCATTTTCATTTCTTAATTTGATGATTTTCTAATCTGCAGACTAGCATCCAGATAGCTATGAGAAAAGTTTCCTAATCTTGTGTGAGTTTCCTGTGCAAGTCCATTGTGCTTGAGTAGCCTTCCATGGAGGACAGAAGTGCCTGGTTCTCTCCATCTCTGTGGTGCCCAGTCAGGAGGAGGTCAGGCTAGGAGCTTAGGAAGCTCAGTGTTTCACCTGTACAGGTTGCTTAACCGTGTGCTTTTATGGAAGTGTTTTCACATAAGTGCACTTGCTGTGTCATCCTGACTGAATTCCTGGTGGAGACAGTTGCTTAACTGGTTCTGCTTATTACCTTTGCTGCAGGAGAAGCATTGCCTGATTATTTCCTTAGGAAGCTATAGAATTCAGGAATCCGCTCAGAAATTTTGGCCCTTGTAATGAGACATAATGTCAGGAAAGATTTATGAATCCCCTGGTCAGAAATCAGTCTCTCAGCAGTTGACCTAGAGTTGAACTGATATGTTGCATATAGAGTGCTTCTCTGTTCAGGCCAGAATTTTAAGAATCTAAGACTTTAAGTGGATATGCTGGTGCTGCAGAAGGCACTAATCATTCTGTTTCTTTTTCTTTTCATATGGTTCCTAGTCTGCTGCTGCTGCTCTAGCTTTTCTGTTTTATTTTCCCCCCACATGAAGAAGCATTTCCACTGCTCCTCATTTCTCTATAAATCCATATTTCCTTTTTTCTCTGAAGTCATCTCTTAATGTTGCAGTTTGGTGAATCTGCAAAGTTTGTGTGTCTTAAAAGTTGCTTTAATGTTTGAAAGGTAGTTTTTCTGGGTACAGAACTCTAGGCTGACAGGTTTTTCTTGTGAGTTTTATTTTTATTTATTATTCCTTTGAGTTTTAAAGATGTTCTCCTGTCATCTGGCCTGTACCACTTTATTACTTGTTTGTTTGTTTGTTTGTGTTTTATGAGCGAGAGCTCACAAGAGTGTGGGCCGGAGAAGGGCAGAGAGAATCCCAAACAGGCTCCATGCCCAGTGCTGAGCCCAACGTGGGGCTCAGTCCCACAAACTCTGGGAACATGACTTGAGCCAAAATTAAGAGTCAGACGCTTAGCCACATGAGCCACTCAGGCACCCTTCCCTCTGATATTTTTGCATCATTCTGCCTGCTCTCAGGTGGTCTCCTGTGTGTGCACTAATTAGTGCCCTGCAGAATACTCAGGGAGGCCCATCTGTAGATGTCTGGGGTTCCGTCTTGTGCAGCCCTCTGCTTTCCTTCCGGCGATGCCGTGTTGTGCATGTGTCTTCGACTCAGGGTCCTGCTGGTTTCCCCCAGTGTCTTCCTCTCCCTGAGCTCTGCCCAGGAGCTGTCCTCACCTGTCTCCCATCTCTCGTGTCCCTGTCCTCTGTCTGTCATCTGGTGCCCAGGGTCTTGAAGCCTATTGTGTCATCCACTGTGTGTTGTTACTCTGTTGTTTCAGGCGGGAGAGTAAATCTGGCCATGATGTCCCATTTGGGACAGAAGTGGAGATCTGCTACTTCATCTTTAAATCCAGATTCCTATCACAAAGGACTGTTTGGTTTTCCTCATTTGTCTTTCAGAAATTATTTTTGACATCTGCAAGGTGGCACAATAGGCAGTGGTTGTTTGGACTTCATTCCAAATTTGACTAGTTTCCTTGCCCACTAGTTTTATATCCTACCTTTCCCATTTTTCCCTCATAGAAGTTACGGTTTATTGGAAAGGACAGCTCTTTAACAAATAAGCAGAACGTGCTCAGTATATGGTATTTCCAAATGTGATAGAAACCATGAGGGGGATTATACAGGCCTGGGGAACACAGAGTAAGGGGGGTGGAGTTCTAACTTAGGAAGACGTCAGGGATGGCCCTTTAGGGAAGGGGAGCCATGCAGAATTTGTGAGAGGAATTCAAGGCAGGTTGAACTGCAAATGCAGAGACTCCAGGACAGAAACAAGCTTTTTGTGTTTTAAAGAACAAAAATAAGGCCACTAGGTTTGGAGTGAATCTCGTGTAGAGAATGGTAGATGAGAAGTCTGGGGTCACCAGGGCTGTGTGTGAGTGGGGCTGGGCTGTGTTGAGCAGATCTTACTGGTTCATAAAGCACAAACCTTCTTCACTTCTAAAATGTGGTTATTTTCTGGGTTAGATGGGGTGCTTTTTGAGTTCTTCCCAGAGAAGAGGCTGTGAGCAGGGAGGGCATGAGGCCTGTGCCATCTGATGTCTGGGCTATCTGTGTCCTGATTTTCTACCATAGGAGCTGGATCTAGAAGTCTCAAGGGAGAAGAGCTGTGACCCCAAACCACAGGCTCTGCTTTGTTTTCTTAGGCCTTTATGTTGTGGAGATATCTGACACCCAACTGCTCTTACTCCTTTGTAGCAAATCTTTTCTTTCTCCCTGGATTCTTGCAGGGCTTTGGTGTGGTTGTGGTTTTGGGGTGTGTGTGTGTGTGTGTGTGTGTGTGTGTGTGTGTGTGTGAATTCCTGAAATGTGCCAGCTGCATGTGGGTGTGTTGTCTCTTTATTAACTCCTGCCACCCCCCACCCCGATTTTCAAACTCAAGACTCAAAAAAATGCGCTTTTTTTTTCTTTTCTAATTGTTTCTCTGGAGGTCTGCCCCTTTTCCTTCCACCTGAGGGCCTCCTTCCTACACAGTCTTATTGGTTGCTTGCCATGTCTCTGTCCACCTTCACGTTCCTGTTCATTGCCTTAAGCCACCCAGAACTCTGAGGGCGTATGGTGGGACTGTCTTCTGATTCACCAGTTTGCTCCTGCAGTCTCCCACCTGCTGAGGCCTCTGGCTCACAGAGTGGAATTGTTTTCATCTCAAGTAATCCTGTTTTTCCTTTTTGAGTCGATCTTCCTTGGTGTTCTAACATAGTTCTTGCTGACACTGTGAACTGGAGAGGTTCTAGAGTTTTCTCTTATTTGTTGCAAAAACTCCATGTCCCACAGAGGCTTGGAGTCCTCCCTTTGAACTGCAGTTTGAACTGTGAGATGTTTACATTTGACCATCACTTACTGTCTTCCTTCATCCTTACTGGGCAGGTAGGCAGGGTGTCTGTGTGTCCTGTGTGGGAGATAACAAGGACTTGGGAAGAGAGTAAGTGGATCCCTATCTAACCCCCACCCCTAGGCAGGAAATAAGGATGGTGTACCCTTGTTCCAGCCTTTTATCTCCCCATGGAATGGCTGGCAGGCCGGGGTGGTGGCCAGAGCAGTGGCCCCAGTAGTGGTGTCCGTGTTGGCCTCTGCTCCTGAGTTCCTGACTACCTGGGTGTTTCTCCCGTGCTCTGATGGCCCCAGCAAGGCTGGGGAGTCTGCTGTGGCAGTAACTCTAGCTGACTTGGGTCACACAGCCTCGTGCAGATGGAGAGCTGAAGTTTGCCTGCTGGCGGGCCTGTACCTGCGGCCTGCTGTGGGCCGGTGAGGGGCCTCATCTGGGCCCTCCCCAGTAGCCTTCTCCATCCTTGCCAGAAATTGCACGCTGCTGGGGTCACGGCTGATAGAAGTGTTTTAGTATCTCTGCTTGTGGACGAGGTTTCGGTCTGCTGAAGCATTCTCTCCCCATTTGTATCCCCACTGTGATCATCTTGAGGGGGCTTGGGAAGAGGGTACGCTGAGCGCGTGCATTGGCTTCACCGTCTCGCATCATATGTCTTCCTTTAATAATCCTGCTTCCACATGCTCTCCATGGGGCACGCACTCTCTGGAGAGAGCTTGGGGAAGGGACTTGGTCTTCCTGGGTTATTGCCTCGCTCCCCTGACCTTCTCTCAGTGGGCCTGCAGTGTGGCTACAGGCTTGCCTTGTTTATGAAGAGTCCTCATTTATCGGCTAATGTCAGAGCAACAGTCTCAACCATTCTTCCGCCTGGCTGGGGCTCTAGGGCCCTCTTAGACTATGTCCAGTTCTTTCCTCTTTCTGAGGCTGGCCCTTCCTCTAAGCCCCTGATGAAGACCCTCGGGTGGAAAGGTGGGAGTGAGTGCCATGGGAAGAGATCATGTACCCGGGGCTTCCTCCCTGCTGCCGAGGCCAAAGGTCAGGTAGAGGGACAGTGGGAGTCATGAGCAGCCTGTGGCGGAGTGGCTGGTGTCTGTCCCCTACCCGGTCGCTAAGCCTCCTTCTCTGGCCCTGGCAGGTTTGTAACCCCAGATCAGAAGTACTCCATGGACAACACTCCTCACACGCCGACCCCATTCAAGAATGCCCTGGAGAAGTATGGACCACTAAAGCCCCTGGTATGTGGTGTGGCCAGCGGGGTGTGCACAGTGGGGTTGCTTGGATCCATGCAGCCATGTACGGCTCACAGAGCTCTTCCCCTCTGAGAGCTCACTGGACTCTCCCAACCTCTCAGAGGTTGCAAATGCCTTGATTTTATAAATGGGGGATCTGAGGCTGAGTTGCTTACCAATTCATCAGACATTTTCTGAGCACCTCCAACATGCTGAGTGGGTACTGGCTGGTGCTAGAGACGCAGTGGCACCCTGGTGAAGCTCAGTGTTGGGGGTAGGGGACAACATCAAACACGCTGACAAGTAGCTAGGTACTCCCAGTACATTGTCAGTGCTGGGGAGAAGATGAGCAGGTGCTGGAATGGAGGACGGGCTCATGTGCTGGGGCTGATTGCCCCTCACACTGAAGCCTTTGACTGACTGCATTTTTTTAATAAAACACGGGCAAGCCACTTGTGGGCGGGCATGAGTGGCCAGTGAGGCACCTTCCTGGCCGTGGACAAACTGCCCTTCTCCCTACTCCTCCCAGTGGGATGGTCATGCTTTCCCTGGTGAAAACAGAAAATTGGCACTATGGGCTTTCTGAAACAGAGGCAGGTGTTCTAGAAATGAATGGAAGGTGAGAGAAAGGTTGTAGAAAAGCATTTGGCTTGTGAACAGGGTCTGTGGTGTGTCCCTAACCCCCACTGTGTGGGGACTCTCGTGCTGTGGTCTCCTCGGCTGTGGGATGGTGCTGATGGAGTCAGTGGGCCCAGTGAGGCACTAGTCAGCACTGCCCTCTCTAGTTCAAGTGGGGATACAGTTTCCAGACAGAGACATTGATCAGCCTGCTCTCCAGACAAGCTTGACAAGGCACATCTGACCTTGGCAACCAAAATTAAAGCACGTAGGGGCTTTTAGAATGACTTCTCAGGGTTGCCATCCCCTATGTGTGCTGCTCTTTTCTTTTCCTGTTTGCTGCCGCCTGAGGCCAGAGTGGTTGCCTGGAACCCCATAGGCCCAGGAAGGGGGGATGGAACCAAGAATCCCTGTTAGTGTGGAACAAAGGGGTGAGGGAGTTTGGGCTCGAGCATGTCCAGGTTCTAACTCCATAGCCATGTGACCTTGGGCCAGGCGCTTGATCTCTGAGCCTCCCATTTCTACCTTGTGGAAGATGACAGCTGTTGCACTGGGTTATGTGAGGGCCACTGTGGTGATGTGTGGGTACACTTCCAGCTCATGATGGCTCTTCGTGAGTTAAGGTTAATGTCTGTTTGTCCAAGGTAGGACAATTAATGGTCACGAATGAGTAGGAGGCCAGCATCCTGGCCCTGGGCCTCCTTGCATTGCCTAGGACAGCCCAGGTGTGGATGGGTGCTGTACCCTAGACCTTGGGTGTGGAACCTCACATGGGCTGTCCTGCCCTGCCCCCAGCCCCAGACCCCGCACCTGGAGGAGGACTTGAAGGAGGTGCTGCGTTCTGAGGCTGGCATCGAACTCATCATTGAGGATGAAGTGAGGCCTGAGAAGCAGAAGAGGAAGGCTGGGGTGAGTGGCTGGTAGGGTGGGAGATGCCGTTACTGCCAGCCTGGGCAGCTCAGGCTGAGGAAGGTGGAGCCATGGGGAGGTGGGGAGAGAGAGGGGTGGGGGTAATCTGAGGACACCTGGTAAAAGTGGGGTACTGGGGAAGGTAGAGCTGCAGCCCATACCCTTTGTTCCCCAGAATGGTTATCAGTGAAACTGACCAGGGTGAGGCCCTGGTGCTCGGGACCCTCCTCTCTTCCCCACAGAACTAGCCCCTTACTCATGTAGCATTGTGTTCAGACCCTTCTAAAGTGGGCTCTAGGCTTGGGGAAGTAGATAGAATGGTGATATAGACCCAGACATGGTCACTCCCTCCTGGGGCTCAGGGGGTGGGGGCAGACACCAGACAAACACACCATGACCATCTCAATACATGGCATTAAGGGAGTAGAAGGGACACAGGATTCCAAGGGAAATCTTCAGATGGAGTTGGCCATGCATCTGGGGTGCGGGAGCCACGTGGGGAACATTTGGTTCAGGTGAGGTGGAGAGCTGTCAGGGACACCTGGGTACAGAGTTTCGGGCAGGAGCTGTCCCGGGCCAGCCCAGAAGCCACACACCTGCTGCACCATGTATGTGGATTTCCTGAAAGCATATGGATTCCATGTTCCCCCTTTTTTGTAGATGCTTTCTTCTGGGAGAGGTGGGAAGATGGGAATGTGCCAGAGAGGTGTGTAGGGAAGATGGGTAGTCGGTCTGGAAGGGGCCCACTGGATGAGGGCCTTTGGGTGTGTAGGTTCAGAGAACTTGACCTCGCTATGTCACATGGTGGTTCTGAGCCATGGCAACACCTATTTAGGGCACACTGGTGGGTTAGGGGGTGAGTCAGTCCCAGAGCTCCTCCCTGATATTGGAGCTGACTCTTGACCTGCATATTGGAGGTACATGTGTGGGCTGGGGCATTGCTGTAACAAGCCTGTGTCCCTCGGGTTTTATGTGTCTGTATTCCTTGTTTGCAGGTGGGTATTTTGAGGTATAACTTGGATGGTTACTTCCCAGGCCTATTTAGGGGTGTGTTTAGTATGGTAGAGGCTTGGGAGCTATGCGTGGTCCTTTTGGGAACGAGGAACAGGTTTCTGGATGGAGGTGTTTGTGTCCTTGCTCCCTGTGCTTGCATCTGGCAGGATGGTCTGCCCTAGGTGCTAAATGTGTGATGGGGCCAGGGTCTCCCAGCCTACCTGCACAGCCCACACCCTGCCCCATTCTTCAGCCAGGCGCATGGGTCTGTGATCAGGGCAGATGGGGCAGGCGTCCCCAAGGTGCTGGTGGTGACTCGGGAGGAATCCCAAATGTCTGCCCTGTCTCCCTCCTCCCCACCCCCAGCTGCGGCGGAGCCCCATCAAGAAGGTCCGCAAGTCCCTGGCTCTTGACATCGTGGATGAAGATGTGAAGCTGGTGATGTCCACGCTGCCCAAGGTGCTGTCCTTGGTAAGGGGTCTGAGAGAGAAGCCTGTTCCCCCTGCCATTACCTGCTCCCCTGCCCAGAACTGCAGAGGGTGCCTCTGCCCCACGGAGGATGGAGTCTCCCTGGAGGCCCTCTGCCTTTGGAACCCTTTAGCTGTGAGGGAACTCTGGCAGTGAAGTGGCCCAGTGGTTCTCAGACCAGGCTTCTGGATGTCAGACTCAGCAATGAGGGGCTGATGCAGAAGGAGGGGCTGGGGACCTATCCCCAGCTTCAATCAAGACAGCTCTGCATGTATCTTTCACAGAAAGGTTTATTTGGCAAGAGTTGCACTGCTAGATCCGTGTTTGAAAACCATGGATCTGGGTCCTTAGCACCTTTCATTATATTCTATTTGTGGGAATGACGTGCAGAGGGTCACTGGTGGGCCTTAAGTCACACAGCCAGTTGGTTGGGGCACATCAGCGCTGGGATGGGTGCTCTCCAGTTCCCAAGCTGAGCTCAGGGAGGGGCTGTTGCCAATGCAGAGCCTGTCCCCAGAAAGCTTGCCACACTGTTGATCTCTCTCAGCTGACAGTGGGGTGAGTTGCCCAGTATGATGCAGTGATAGGTGTGGCGAGGGTCATGAGACAAAGGGTTGCTGATCAGATCCTACAGATCTGGGGACTTAGGACCGCTGTAGCCATAGCTCGTGCAGAAAGCATCACTGTGTAGGGAGCCCCACCAGGCTGGGGTCTTAGTGCTGTGTAGCCAGACCTCAACAGGCATCACCTTGGGCATGTAAAATAATTCCTAAAAGGTAAAGTACAGCAAGTAGCTAAGAGCATGAGACTTGGGGTGGAGTGGATTTGATGGAGTCCTGGCACTGGCGACACTGGCTCTTGCTTTCTGGGATCTCTTAGGTTCCCCGAGCCTCAGACCCTTGCCTATCATAAGAGCATCTAGCCCAGCAGACTGTTAGGAGGGTAAAGGTAAAGGTGAAGAGCTGGGAGGCTGGAGGGCCTGGGGGCATTTTGTGCAGCTGTGTGTGTGTGTGCTGGTTGATGCTGGCATCTCTAAATGCCCATGGATGTTTCTGATCCCAGGAGAAACTAGAGCACCCCCTACCCCCCACCCCCCACCTGAGGCTGTGGGGGAGGAACCAGCTTCACGTAAAAGGGACCAGCACTATTGGGCATTTATTAGGTGAAGGTTCCGAAACAGGCACTTTACAGAGAAGTCCCCATCTGGAAGAGGACACTGAGGCTTAGAGAAGTTAATGTCCTGCCCAAGATCCAGCAGTCCAGAGGTGGTGCTGCTGGGATATGACTGGTTTTCTTCCTTCCCACCATACTTGTGGCAGAAGGGTGAGTCTTTGGCTTGGTTTTGATTTCAGCCGACAAATGTCCTATCAAGCTCCTCCAGCCTCTCCGTGCCAGGCATCAAAGAGGAAAACAGCCTACTCAATGAGGGCTTCCTGCAGGCTAAGCCCGAGAAGCACGTGGCGGCCCAGAAGTCCCGAAGCCACTTTCCAACACCTGCCCCTGTGAGTGCTGGCCAAGAATGTGGTATTACCCTTGGGGACTTTGCACAGACCATTGCCTCTGCCTCAGCGCCCTTCTGTGGCTTTATTTGCTTAATTAACGTGTGTGGACATCACACCCTCAGAGAGCCCATGTGGTAGAGGCCTCTCCTGCCCCGAGCCCTTTTATGGTGTGGTCTCACTCATAACCAGGTCATTGTCTCTGTATTTAGTTGCTTACCACATGTCCTCGAAGGCAGGGGCTGCCCTGGCTGCTCGCACCTCAGTGTCTATACGTATGAATCTCTTGCTTGGCTATGGCTTTGCCTCATGAGGAGGCTGGCACCCACAGCCTGGGGAACAGCCATGTTGCTGTGTCCGGCCTCCTTGCTTTACATCTGAGGAAGCCCAGAGACAGGACTGACTTCTCCAGGGCCACCAGGAAGGAGGAGAGAGCACAAGAATACTTGTGGCTTCAAAAGGGAGGAGGGTCATAGAAACGTCCCCCACCCCTCTGGCCAGGCTCACAGCATTCACTGAGAGCATGCTGTCCCTGCCTGGATGATAACTTACTTGCCTCCTCCCAGATGACCAGCGCCTGGAAGATGGTGGCCTGCGGGGGAACCAGGGACCAGCTCTTCATGCAAGAAAAAGCCCGGCAGCTCCTGGGCCGCTTGAAGCCCAGCCACACATCTCGGACCCTCATCTTGTCCTGAGGGGCTTGGTGCTCATTCTTATGTTTACAGGGGGCTGGGGGAACCAAGGTCGGTCTGTGAATTTGAGAATCACACTCAGATGACCACCTGCAGGGAGCCTTCTGCCACCAGCCCCTCCCTAGACTGCTCAGGTGGAGGCAGAGCAGGGCCCCCACTGTCCTGTCTCCGAGTCCAGCTGTGGCTGCGGGCGGTTCCTGGTGCTAACAGAACAAAATCCCACCCCTGGGCCTGCCTGGTCCTCTCCCCAGTGCCACAGGGAGTCCCAGTAGCTTCTCCCAAGTCCTGGTCCTGCCTGGCCTCATCTCAGACCCCTGCTTAGGACGGGGGTTGTGGCCAGCGTGCTGATTCCCTCAACCTGTTAGTACATTTTCTTGAAAGAATAAAATTGCCTTTTTCCTTGTCCTGTCGTTGATTCCATCTTTCTCCTGGACCCTGCTTGTAGTTTCCCAGTCACTGGTTCTCTGGTGACTATTGTTGGGGCTTTGAGGGATGTGGAGACCTGGGTCCTCATCCTCAGAGCATTACTTTGTCTGCACATTTGGATACTCTTCTCCCAGGGGCCCAGTGGTTTGGAGGCAGTTTCATCTGGAGGCACTTCAAAGCTCTGAGGATCTTGACTGTTGGCGGGGAGGGGAGGGTGCATTAGGATCCTGCTTAGCCTTTGGCATGGAGGGCTGACCTGGCCTGCCATGAGCCCAGCCCCCAGGTGAGACCAGTAAAGAAGTGACTGGCAGCTGGGCAGGGCCTCATGGCCACAGTAGCCTTAACATGGCAAGGCCACGGCAGCAGTTGGAGCTTGGGCTGTGGTCTACCCTGATCATGGTGCAGTGGGATGACTAGCACTTGGCTGGAAGCTGGGGATTGAAGAGGGGTGGGTGCCGGGTCTGAAGGTCTAGAGTGGAGAGTGAGTATTCAGCAGTAGGGTTCATGGGGTTTGGCATGTGGCTATCCCTGGGGGCTGGTTTCAGTTCACCACAGGATGGGCAACTGCCTGGGACAGACCCATCTCTACACTCTGCTGCAATGCCTCTGGTTCCAAGGGAGACTTAAAGACAGATCTCTTGCTTGGGACCCTGTCCTCTGACTGACACACTCCTGTCCTGCTGAATTTGCACATGGGGTCTTGTCGTTCAGCATGGCAGAGCCCTCAGGTGACCCCTACCTGGTCACATGCAGTTGTACCCAGTTTGAGCCTGGCTGAGTCCTGCTTCCTGCACCTCCTGTGGCCGAGCCAGATGCTCCAGCCAGTTCCATGGCAGGGCCACATCTGCCACATGCCCCTGTGCCTTTGTAGATTTCCTGGCCTGGACCCCTTCCCCTGCCCCCCACCAACTCCTTCCTTTGGTGACCTGTAGGTCCTAGGCTCCAACACCGAATGTTTCCTTCAGGGCTATCAGCATTGACATGTGACCCTGTGAGGGACCAGGGGACCTTCATATCTAGGGTTCACAGCAACTCAGTTGGTAGGACACCTACATCAAAATCGGATGCAACAAGCCTCTGGGACCACCTGCCCTCCAGTCCTCCCACCCCGGATTTATCATAGGCTCCCGGAGAGCTTTTCCTAGACAGGTGGTGAGTGACTGCACCTGAGTGTGAGGTGGCCTACAACCCACCAGGGGCTTTCTGCCAGTGTCCGCTCCTGGCTGCCTCATCCACCTGTGCCCAGGGCCTGTCCTGAGCATCCCTTCTAGTTGCAAACATGTTAACTTGCCACCTCTGGTGAACTCTGCACTGGAGCTGTTGCTGCTTCACACATTAAATGAACAGGTATCAAATGTCCCCCGTGTGCCTGGCGTGGTTCTGGTGCCGAGGATACGAGAATAAATTCCAAGACGCTTCCAAACAACCTTATTCTCACAGGGTTTATATTCTAGAGGGCATCAGCCAACATCTATGCACAAGCCTGAGGGGCTTTGAAGAAAGAAAGCAGGGGAATAATGAATGGCATTATTCATTCCTTCCTGCTAGGTGGAAGGGAAGGCTTGAGTGAGGAGGCTGAATGCAGCCCCTGGCCACCATGGGACCGCTGCTTGGGCCGGGGCGGGAGCTTATTGCCAGGGTCAGTGCTGAGGGCGTCTCTGTGGTTTGATTGGGAGTGTGGGGCACACATTGCTCCAGTGGGGTCTGCAGCTCGTGGCTGGCCTGGGGAACTTGGCCAACCAGGTTGATCCGGGGCCCAGTGTTTCCTAGGCCCATGTGACAAGCAAGAGGGAGTTGGTTGATGAGGTGCTGAGGTGCCCAGCACCCGAGTTCAGGGAGGGAGTACGGCCGAAGACAGGTGGGAGGGAAAGACGGGGTTCAATTAGGATGGGGGCAGGTGAGTGTTCTGACAAGATCCAGATGGTGGCTCAGTATCTCCTGGCTAACATGGCCTGGGGATAAAGGAGACGCGGTCAGAGGATCAGCGGCTATGAGCAAGGATTCCAGCAACGGCCCTCCAAGAATCACTGCTCTCGGCAGCCACGCCCTTGAGCAGGTCACATGACTCGTGTAGCCCAATGGGAATCTCCTAATTGCCGCTGAGGAATTGTGGGAAAGCCTGCTGAGAGAGGCCGGGATGGCCCGGTGACGTCAGGCGCGTGAGGGAGGACTTCGTGAGCCATCCAGCCTCACCTTATCTGGCCCAGTCCAGAAGAACTGTTCGGCTGACCACGGACTCTTGAGAAATAGGAAATCGGTATTGTTTTAAGTGCCACTGAATTTGGGGTGGTTTGCTGATACGGGCGCTGTTGCAAGGTCTAGATACATCGGTCAGGTGTCCTGGCCTTCACGGAGCAGGCGGCCACAGCCGAGGGTTCAGAGGGTTCAAGCCTGGGCTGGAGCAACACCGGGGGCGGGGTGGAGCAGGGCTTGGCAGTGAGCAGCCCACATGGCAGGCGCGAAGAACTCCCAAGTGCGAAAATGGTGTCCTCGACCCGAGGTTGCTGTCGGGGTCGGGGGCAGGCCAGGACCCCCTGGGAGGAGCGGGGCAGGTGGACATTGTGCGACGCTGTGGGGACTTACGTGTAGCTACAGGGCGTCTGTATGATGTTTGAGATATGTAGTACGGCACTTATTTGCATTTTATATCTCCCCTTTAATGAAGGAAATTGTCTTCTAAGATGCTTTTAATACATTTTTGTCTATTTTTTATTTAAAAAAATTTTTTTTTTCTGAGAGAGAGACAGCGGGAGCAGGGGAGGGTCTGAGAGAGAGGGAGACACAGAATCTGAAGCAGGCTTCAGGCTCCGAGCTAGCTGTCAGCACAGAGCCCGACACGGGGCTCGAACCCACGAACCGTGAGATCATGACCTGAGCCAAAGTCGGTCGCTTAACCGACTGAGCCACGCAGGCGCCCCTCTATTTTTTATTTTTAAAAGCCTCAGATGGAATTCAAGTGACATAGAAGTATATACATTAGAATGCAGAAGTTCCTTCTCATCCATACACACCCATTTTCCTCAAAGGTCACCACCACTAATGGTGTAACACAGTGCTTCCCAGATTCTACCCTGCACCTGAATCACACAGTAGGATCCTGTTAAAATGTAGACTTTGGTCCAGGAGGCTCTCAGGTGGGGCTTGGGTTTCTAATGAGTTCCTAGGTGATGCTGAGTTGGGGACTGCACTTTGGGTAGTAGGGATTCATGGTACTAATCATTCAGTTGATCAAAGTCAATGAGATGTCTGGGGCCATTGCTCTCTTGTCTTCTTCCTGGGTCCCCACAGCATCTCCTAGAGTTACACTCACTCCCCAAGAACTCTGTGTGGCAGATTCAGGGCAGCCCTGGCCATGTGGTTTCCATGGTGATAGCTCCCTGGACCACCTGTTCCTACTTCTCAGGCAGTGGGACATCCACTTGGGAAGGGCCTGTCTAGGTGTAGTTATACCTGTATTGTTCTGGCTTATTGTATGACTCTCCCATTTGCATGTCATGTCCAAGAGAGCAAGGATGATACCTGCCATATTCATGGCTTTATCCCCAGCACTGATTAGTGGCTGGCACATAGTGGGTGCTCAATGAATATTTGTTGAATGAATATGAAAACCAAGGGGGATCAGTGATGCTCTGGCCATTGTTGGGCATTCATGAGCTAAAGATCTCGTGTTGGACTACTTGAGGTGGAGTTGTCCTAAGGAAAGACCTGACTTTCTGCTGTGTGACCAAAGGGCTTGCCCAAAAAGTGTTTGTAGTCCAAGAGTTGTATGTGCATCTTGATAGAGTCCCCTACTTCTTCCATTCCAGTCACCCAGACACAGCCCCTTCAAGAGCCCAGAGGCCCTTCCCAGAGTCATGCCACACCTCTTCCCAGATGCAGGGCTTTGTGTCCCAGTTTGGACCATGTCCCCTCCATTGTCACCTGTGCTGAGAGGTACCCAGGGATTAAAGTGACCCTGAAGACCTGATCCACAGTCTCCGCTCATGACTGATAATCCCAGATCCCTCTACATACCAGACTTGGTTTTGTTCTCTTCTTATTGTGGTTTAAAGCATACCAAAGTTTACCATCTTAACCTTTCTTAAGTATACAGTTCAACCATGTTAACTATATGCACGTGTCAGTTCAGATACCTAGGATTTTTTCAGCTTCCGAAATTGAAACTATACCCATTAACTCATTTCCCCCTTCCCCAGTCCCTGGAAACCACCATTCTACCTTCCATTTCTATGAATTTGACTACTTTATCTTGTGTAAAGTGGAATCATACTGTTTTGTGACAGCTGATTTAACTTCGCATAATATCCTTAAGGTTCATCCCTGTTGTAGCTTGTATCAGAATTTCCTTCCTTTAAAAAACTCTTAAAAATATATTTTTAACTTTATTTATTTATTTTAAGAGAGAGAGAGAGAGCACGCACAAGTGGGGAAGGGACAGAGAGAGAGAGAGAGAGAGAGGGAGAGAATCCTAGGCAGGCTCTGCACCACCACTGCAGAACCTGATGCAGGGCTTGGACTCACAAACTGGACTCAAAACCATGACCTGAGCTGAAGTCTGATGCTTAGCCGACTGAGCCACCCAGACACCACAGAATTTTCTTCCTTTTTAAGGCTGAATAATATTCCACTGCATGTATAGACCACATTTTACTTACCCATTCATCTTTCTGTGAATGGACACAAGGTTTCTTCCACCTCTTGTGAATAATGCTATCAACATAGGTGTGTAGATCCTGCTTTCAGGCCTTTTGGTAGGATTGATGCAACATATGGTAATCCTATTAAAAAATTTTTTTTAAGTTTATTTATTTTTGAGAGAGAGAGAAACAAAGTGTGAGTTGGGGAGGGGCAGAGAGAGAGATGGAGACAGAATTTGAAGCAGGTTCCAGGCTCTGAGCTGTTAGCACAGAGCCTGATGTGGGACTGAAACTTGCTAACCGCGAGATCATGACCTGAGCCGAAGTCGTACACTTAACTGACTGGGCCACCCAGCAATCCCAGTAATCCTATTTTTAATTTTAGTTGTTTATATTTTGTTTCACTTAGGCTTTTGTACTTCCAGGAAAAGCTGTGTGCTGGGCTCTTAGAGCTTTTGCAATGATGCTGGACTCTGTCACCACCTGGTGGCCTTTGGTATTTTTGCAGCAGCAGGTAAAGTGGGCCATAGAAGTTTTTTAGGTCTTGGAAAAGTCCTTGTAACATTTTTCTGTTTTTCAGGACTCCCCTTCAGCATTTGCATCAAGCAGTTGTGTGGCCTTTGCTTGAACACCTCCACTGATTGGGAGAGGTGACTTTATTACTTTTCAGCTAGCTCCATTGTTGGACACAGTTGTGAATATTCTTTATCTGGAGGAAAAAACCTTCTCCCTTTATAATATCAAATAGGAATAACTAAGGCACATGGGCAGATGGTTTGTGGGGAAATTAGGGTACCAGGAAAGGTAGTTGAAAGGCCAGGATTAGCTTGAGAGTCTGACTGCCAAAATTAGTCACTTTCTCAGCAGACCTTAGCATGAATCTATCCTGTCCTGTTTCCACAGATCACCAAGTCTCTGATTTAGAAATTATAGTGGTTCAGCATCCTCTAAAGATGGGTTTTATGTTTTCATCTTAGGCAGTATGTGTTTTAAAGTAATTAAAGCTGATTGGGACACCTGTGTGGCTCAGATAGTTAAGCATCTGACTCTTCATCTTAGTTCGGGTCTTGATCTCACAGTTGTGAGTTCAAGCCCTGCATTGGGCTCCATGCTGGGCATGGAGCCTACTTAATAATAAACAAAGTAATTAAAGCCAAGTTTCGATATGAGCTAAGAATGAAACTTTTCCCTGATGTAGACCAGTGTAGCTGTTCAGGATGAAGGTGTTTTACATGTATGTTAACTAAGGCTGCCCTGTAGGTATCTAGGTTAAAGTATGTACCAACGGGACAGTCTGATAAGAACTGATGTAAAGCCTGATTTGCAAGTGCATCTTCAGAAAGGCACAGTTGAGAATATGTCTGTCCCCTCTCTGAGAAGGAGTCCATGCATCCTGCCCAGTGGGCAGCCTGGCTTGGTATACAGTAGGTGCTCAGTAAATGTCTTATTCTGCCATGAAGTATTGTGGCAGTGAGAAAGGCCTTAGGCAGCTAGGACCAGAGGGGTGGGGGAAGCTTTGTCATTTTTTAGTGTTGATTTCTATCTTAATTGTCCTGTGGTCAGAGAACATAGCCTGGTTTCAAATCTTTGAAATTTGTTGGAACTTATTTTATGGTCAAGCATATAATCAATTTTGTAAATGTTCCTCCTGAGTCTTCTGAAATGAATGTATAGTCTGCAGGCATTGGGGGCAGTGTCCCATTTTTGTCATATGCTAATCCTATTGTTCACATGTCCAATATCCTGGGTTTTTTTGTCTGCTTTTTGTAAACCTAGATGAGTCAACTTCCAAATGATGCACGTTAAGAATGTTGTTTCAAGCAGCTGAATGTTGCGGGGCGGAGGGGTGGTGGTGGTTGTTGCTCAGAATTATTATATGACAACTAGCTGATACACAAGGTAAACTTGTGTTCACTAGAAAAAGCCCTAGAAAATGGACAGTGCAGCCTGGGCTCAACTGGGTGGAGGAAGAACTTAGGAAACCTGGAGTTTCCAGAACTGGGCAGGAATTGAGTGGGATGAAGGCTTCTGGAATCCAGAGCCATATGACTATGTCTTGATTGTTCCCCAGGACATCGGGCAAGCTTTCCAGGGCTCTTCTGACTTTAGATCAGACAGACCTGGATGTGAATCCCAGCCTGGCTGTTACTGGCTATGTCTCTTCCCTGCTCTGAGCCTTAGAGTCCTCATGATAAAATGGGGGACATTCCTTAACCTTTCACATTGTTGAAGGAGCTGGAGAGACATTGTTGAAGGAGCTGGAGAGAACACTGGCACACTTCTGGGGCTCAGGAAATAAGGGCTCTTTATGATGTTACTACAGAACGTTTTCTCATTCCTTTCTCATGCTTAAGAAACCATGCAGAGGAGGAGTTCGTACCCATGCTTCAGTGGGGTGCTCCAAGGGGAAGTTACCAGGTTGGGGCTGGGGCAGGGCTTGAGCCACTCTTGCTTGCAGGCTCATACTTTAGTGTCCCTTGTTCTGTGTCATTGTCTGCTTCAGAATTCTCAGCCAGAGAAGCAGAGTGGTGCAGGAGAGTGTTAGGTATGGGTTCAGTTTTTAAAGACTTTCCATAAAAGTTCAGCCTACAGGCAGCAAAGTGCACAAATCCCAATGTACAGCTGGATGGGTCTTCACAAAGTAAACACAGGCATGTAACCACCACCCACGTCAAGAAATAGAACATGATGAGCACCCCAGAAACTCCCTCTCCACCCTGCCAGGGGTAACCACCATCGTGACTTCAAGCACCATAGATTTATTTTATTTTGCCTTTTTAGAAGAAAGCGAGTATGTGTGAGCAGGGGAGAGGCACAGGGGGAGGGGGACAGAGGATCTGAAACCAGCTCTGTGTTAATAAGAACCTGATGAGGGGCTCAAACTCCTGAGCTGTGAGATCATGATCTAAGCTGAAGTTGGACACTTAACTGACTGAGCCATCCAGATACCCTTGTCTAGCCTTTTTAAAATTTTATTTTTATTTTTATTTATTTATTTTTAAAGATTTTATGTTTAAGTAATCTCTACCCACAATGTGGATCTTAAATGCGCAACCTGGAGATCAGGAGTCAAATGCTGTACAGACTGAGCCAGCCACATGCCCCTGTTTTGCCTCTTTTTAAATTTCTTTTTATTATTATCATTTTTTAATTTTAGAGAGATGGAGCACAAGTGGGGGAGAGAGGGGCAGAGGGGGAGAGAGAATCTAAAGCATGGCCCCAGTCTCAGCATGGAGCTCGATGCGGGACTCGTCCTCAACCTCTGCGGAAATCAAGAGTTGCCACTCAACCTACTGAACTACGCAGGTGCCGCTTGCCTTTTACTTATCTATCTATCTATCTATCTATCTATCTATCTATCTAAAACATTGTGGAAACTGAATTTCATATACATAATATTTACCTGTGTTGATTTGTGTAGTTACAATTTGTTTACTCTCATGACTGTATATTATTCCATTATATGACTTTTGCACAATTTACCCATTCTCGTGAAGGGCTGGGGAAAGTTTCTGGATTGGCTGTTATAAATAGAGCTGTTATGAACAGCTTGTCCTAACCTTTTCGTGAGCTCATATACACATTTCTGGTTTATACATATCTAGGAGTGGGGATGGGTTTAAATTCATGAGGCCACTTGCCACTTACAAGCTTTGTGAACAAATGCAGGTTATTTAGCTTCTCTGAGTCTCATTTTACATGTCTATATACTGGAAATAGAAATAGTTGCCCCTCTGTGTTGTGGCTAGGCCTTCATGAAACAGTACAAGGCACTTGGCTCAAATGGAGCAACCCCTTTCATTTCCTTCTCACTCTGCCCTAGGACAAGGCTCTGCTGCGAGGCTCCCCATTTGCCAGGAATCCTTGACACGAAACCTGGGAACCTTATCCACTGCCCGGGGCTTGTGAATAAATTTTCCCCAGCCACGGGCTCTCCTCTGTGATTCAGCCACAGGTGTCCGGCCCAGCACTGGCTTGCTGTGGTCGCCACCACTGCTAACAAATGTTTTTATGATGGTCTCAGTAAGAGTGTGCTTTGCAGCCAGTGTTCTTTAGAGACTGGCCCAATAGAGGCAAGGAGTGAGGACTGGGGGCAGGGAACAGCTAGCTGGCTGCGATCCAGCCCAGGCGTTTAGAACAGACATTCATTTCTTGCCTGGTCTTTCTTCCCTGATGTCCAGGCAGAAGTTTTTCTTAAGCCCTTGTATTCCTTAACTTTTCCTGAAACCCCTCAAGTCAGGCCATGAGGGTCACTGGCCAGTGGGGGAATTGCCTACAGGGAGCTCTGTTATCATAGAACTGACTTCTGTCTCTGTGTAATGGCAGCCTGGAGCATTGTGTTGGGAAAGATTCTGAAGGTATTGTCCAGGCTCAGGAAAATGTGCTGTGATTGGTTCATTATGTCTGTTATATGCATGGGAGGTGGTGGCAGCGGCATACATTTCATGTATTTACCTCTATCTTTGGCTTAAAGGTATTGGTTAGTTCTGCTCAGAATAGACATGTATTTGATTCAGAGTGGTAAATGGAATGTTATTAAATAGGTGAATTAAGTCTATTTTTATTTATCTGATTATTGACATATTTGGATTCATTTCTACCAGTATATTTTGTGTTTTCACTATTATAGTTTTCCCCCTTTCTTTTTTAAGTTTATGTTTATTTATTTTGAGAGAGATAGAAGCAGAGAGGGGAGGGGCAGAAAGAGAGGGAGACAGAATCCCAAGTAGACTGCACTGTCAGTGCAGAGCCCAATGTGAAATCATTGTGCTTGAAATCATGAACCGTGAGATCATGACCTGAGCCAAAATCAAGACTCCGACACTCAACCGACTGCGCCACCCAGGTGCCTCCTCCCCTTTCTTTTCTTTGTTGAATTTACAAAGTTTTTTTTTCTTTATTTTTGAGAGAGAGAGCGAGCATGTGAGAGCAGAGGAGGAGCAGAGAGAACGAGAGACAGAGGATCTGAAGCAGGCTCTGTGCTGTCAGTGATGTCAGAGCCTGATGTAGGGCTCGAACTCCCAGACCATGAAATCAGGAGCTGAGCCAAAGTTGGATGCTTTACTGACTGAGCCACCCAGTCGCCCTGAATTTATAAAGTTTTCTGTGATCTCCTGGTCTGTTTTTTCCTCTTGCCTGGTTTGAATCATATAAAAAATATTTCTCTTATTTTAGAGGCTATTTAAAAAATTTTAATACACATATTTGTTACTATTTCTCTCCTTCTAAACAATGTTCTTTCTTGGCCTATTTTCTTTTTTTCTTTTTATAAAAAAGTTTTTAATGTTTATTTATTTTTGAGAGAGAGACAGAGTGGAGCAGGCAAGGAGTAGAAAGAGACACACACAGAATCTGAAGCAGGCTCCAGATAGCACAGAGCCCAATGCAGGGCTTGAATTCATGAACCTTGAGATCATGACCTGAGTTCAAGTCTGATGCTTATCTGACTGAGCCACCCAGGCGCCCTTTCCCTGGCCTATTTTCATTGAAAAGTTTTATCATTTTAAATGCAAAATTGATGATTTTCTCAGTTGATTAACTTTGTGTATGTATTTTATAAATTCACTTACTTATCTTGTTTCTCTTACCCCATTACATTTTCTTTTTGCTAAATAATACCACCGTTTCTGCTACTAGAAGGTGGCATTAGTCAGGAGCTTGCTACATACTGTACTGGTAATCCTACATGTCATCCCTTAATCCTCTGCACAGTCCTAGGAGTTTGTCATCCCTACCTTGTGGATGAAGAAACAGAATCACAGAAAGGGTGGGGTATCACCAAGGTCTCACGTTAGTAAGAAGTGAGGCTGGGCTTCATCCTGGCTATTGTGTTGCTCTTTGCTCTGTGTGCATTTGCATTTTTTGTTTTGAATTCATTTTAGATTTACAGAAAATTTGCAAAGATAGTACAAAGAGTTCCCATGTACCTTCCACCCAGTTTTTCCTAATGTTAACATCTTCTAAGAGCATGGTACATTTAGCTAAACTAAGAAATTCACATCAGTACCATACTAGTAACTAAACTACAGACTTTCTTTGGATTTTACCAAGTTTTTTTACTCATGCCTTTGTCTTTTCCAGCATCCAATCTGGGATCCCACATTGCATTTTAGTATATGTATGTGTATTTAAAAATATTTTTGGAATGGAAGACTTCAAATTTATATCAAAATGGAGAGAAGTAAAATTTGTCTATCACTCAGCTTCACCAATGATTAATTCATGACCAATTTGTTTCATTCACACCCCAAACCAAGTTACTTTTCTCTTCTTGGTCCTGGTGGCCTGTAGTTTACATCTGTGTGCCCTACACATCCCCTTCTTATTTCATCTGCTTCCTGTATGACAGTTCTCTAATTCATGCACTTTATGAATCATGGACTTTCTAGGGCCAACAATTAGAACAACTTCTTTTTCTCCTTCTCCTTCTCCTTCTCCTTCTCCTTCTCCTTCTTCTTTTCTTCTTCTTCTTCTTTTCTTCTTCTTCTTCTTCTTCTTCTTCTTCTTCTTCTTCTTTCTTCTTTCTTCTTTCTTCTTTCTTCTTTCTTCTTGGAAGAAGAAATCTTTATTTCCCACTTCATAGAAAGAATTGAGGGGCCCAGGGTTGGCAAAGTTATGATTACTTAAAAATAACTTAGCAGTTAAGATTTCCTCCTGAAAAACTTTAAAAAGACTTCAGTCTTTTGCTGTTTTAAAAGATGTGTATTTTAATTTTTTGGCCAGATAATATATTCACATGTATTTACCTGTAAAAGGTACTGAAGGGTTGGTTGCAGGCAGCGCTCTGTGGCAGATGGTTGAAATTGACTAACACACTATGAACTTGCTACAGCAAGAAGGTCTAACCTATTCAGGTGTTTTCTCCTTGTGAGACCAGCTGTTGCATAGGCTTAACCAGGGTTGGCAGCTGTCGCTAAAGTGCATTGAGATATGCCCTTGTACAGACTCATGAGGGGGGAAGAGAGGGGTGAGGAGTACCCACCTTTACAGACTTCTGAGGCATCCCACTTCATTTCAGTCTTCCCTAACAATTAATACCTCTACTGTTTGGGGACAGTCCATTCTTTTTTTTTTTTTAAGTTACTTATTTATTTTGAGAGAGACAGAGAGGGAGAGAGTACAAGTGGGGCAGGAGCAGAGAGAGAGGGGGACAGAGGGACAGAGGATCCAAAATAGGCTCTGTGCTGACAGCAGAGAGCCCAGTGTTGGGCTTGAACTCATGAACTTTGAGATCATGACCTGAGCCGAAGTTCGCACTTAACCAACTAAGCTACCTAGGCACCCCTGGGACATCCCATTCTTGGCATGAATTTCTTACATATGAAAAGCAGCAGATGAACTTGATCTGTGAATCTTCTTAGAATTGTAGGTAGCATTGGGTTGGTATATGGTTTTCTGAGGGATGGTTCCAAACCAAAACGGGACAGGTTTTTGTTTTGTTTTGTTTTGTTTTAATTTTTTTAATGTTTTATTTATTTCTAGGAGAGCGAGAGAGAGACAGCGTGAGCAGGGGAGGGTCAGAGAGAGAGGGAGACACAGACTCTGAAACAGGCTCCAGGCTCTGAGCTGGCAGTCAGCACAGAGCCCGACGCGGGGCCCGAACCCACGAACCGCGAGATCATGACCTAAGCGAAAGTCGGACGCTTAACCGACTAAGCCACCCAGGCACCCCTAAAGATTTTTTTTTAAGTTTATTTATTTAAAAAAATTTTTTAATGTTTGTTTATTTTTGAAAGACAGAGTACAAGCAGGGGAGAGGCAGGGACAGAGGGAGACACAGAATCCAAAGCAGGCTCCATGCTCTGAACTGTCAGCACAGACCCTGGCATGGTGCTCAAATCCACAAACCGGTGCTCAAACTCACAAACTGTGAAATCATGATCTAAGCCAAAGTTGGCCACTTAACCAACTGAGCCACCCACGTGCCCCTATTTATTTATTTTGAGAGACAGAGAGTGCGAGTCAGGGAGGAGAGAGGAAAAGGAGAATATCAGGCAGGCTCTGTGCTGTCAGTGCAGGGCCTCACATGGGGCTTGATCTCGTGAGATCAATGACCTGAGCAGAGATCAATAGCCAGATGCTTAACCAGCTGAGCCCTCAGGCACCCCAAGAGTTGATAAGTTTCTAGGGAAGAGACTAACAAGGAATCCGATAGGAGACATAGTAGGCTTTGTAGGTGGACACCTGTTGTATGTATCCTTGAGAGAAATTTATGCAAACATAAGCACATACTTACGTTTCTCTCCCACAGCTCTGCAAAAATGGTAGCATAATATACAGAATGTTCTGGATTTGGCTTTTATCAGTTAGACCAGGGATTGGCAAACTATGTCCTACAGGCCAAATCTAGCCTGTTACCAGTTTCTAGAAATAGTTTTATTAGAACCTCATTTATTTGTCTACATATTGTCTGTGGCTGCTCAATGCCACTAAGGCAGAGCTGAACAGCTGTGACAGAGAACATGTGGTTTATAAAGCCTAAAATGTTTGTTCTCTGGCCTTTTAGAGAAAACGCTTGCTGGTGTCTGAGTGAGACACTGTTTTAGCCTTTCTAAACCAGTATGTAAAGGGCTTCCTCACCCTTTCTCATGACGGCATACTATTTCTGTATATGGCTGCACCGTAATTCACTTACTCAAACCCTCCCGCAAGGGGTATTTGGATCATTTCTGACTGATATTTACTGGCACAAATAACATGAAGTGGGGTAACCTGGTACTCACCTCCCTCTCCGCAAGTGCGAATGAATGCATTTACAGGCTGAATTCCTAGAAGTGGAATTGCTCCATCAAAGCAGAGCACACTGGTCATTTTTACAGCTTACTGTCAAATTGCTCTCCACAGAGATTTACCCCCTTACATTCTCACCAGTGTTATGAAAGTGCCTGTTTGCCCCATCTTTGCCAGCAGAATGTCCTGCCTGCTTTTAGATCTTTACCAACTGCTACATGAAAAACAAGGTTTCCCAGGGTGGCTCACTTTGCACACTTTTATTCTGGTGAGTTGCATCTCCTTTCCAGCATTTAAGAGGCAAGTGCTCCTCTCTGCTGCTGGTGGTTTGCCCTCCCGGTCTGAGAGTCTTCTGGGGGGGGGGGGGGTCAGGCATGGGGGATGGACCTCTCTTTCTCTGACTCTCTTATGTCGCTTTCACATACAAGCTTTTGGGGAACAAAGGTTTTAAGGACAAACATGGGAGAGCAGTTAGTGCTGTCGACATTCCAGACGTCAGAACTGGGGAAGCAAGAGGGCTCTGGAGGGAGATTTCCACTCTGCTCTGAACTTGGAATGCTAATTTTCAGGGGGTGCAGGCTGTCATCTTCCTCTACTGTGCTTCTGTTGATACAGGCAGCTTCATGCTCCTCCAGCTCTTTGATGGGGACCACGTGGCAGGCGTTGTATTTGCAGCTGGCCATCTTTTTGGCTTTCTTGGGGTTCTTTCTCCTGCAGGATGCCAGGTGGTACTGAAATCGACTGAGTGGGACTCGGTGGTGAGGGTTGTAAGGGCAGATTTCTAAGGCTTCTGGCTCCATGAGAACTTGTTCTTGAGGCAAAGTAGCTCACTTCCCAGAGTCAAAATGCGACGCCCCTGTTGGAAAAGCCCTTGGTAAGGAGGACGGAGCTGTCCTCTGCCCAGAGTTGGTCCTTAGAACTCTGTTGGCCAAAGTCTTAACAGCTCCTGTTTCTGGGGCTCTGTGACCACGAATGGTGGGTTAGGAGAGGGACAAGGAGCTGTCAGGGACGGCTGCACAGAGAGCAGAGTTACACAGAAGAACCGATTAAAGCACATGCGAGAGCCCGAAAACCACAGCAGCCCCGCGGGAAGGTACAGAGGGTACATGCCAGCTCGCCTTGATTCCCAGAGGTACTCTGTGTGATGTCGGGGCGCAGTCATGAATGGTCACAATGGGCAGCTTGAGTCATCAATGAAGGGCCACTTGTTGTCCATCACTTTCAAGAGGCAGGGTAGCTTTGGGAAAAGCTGTTGTTCAGAATTATTGGTGACATGTCTCTTGTCATTTAACTGTTTCTAAACTTAGATGTTTAATGTAATTCCTGATATATTTGAGTTTAAATCTATTATATTTGTGCTTCCTGACCTATTCTTTGGTTTATTTTTTTCTCTCTTCTTTTCTAATTTTAGACAGTTTAAAAAATTGTTTCCATTTCCCCCATGATTTTGTAAGTTACACATTCTCTAATCAAAAATGGTTACTTTACAAATTAAAACATTCATAAATAACTTAGCTAGGTTTAAAGTTCATAAAAGTTTCATCCTCTTTCCAAATAATACAGGACTTTCTCTACATTTACTTCCCTCTTGACTTATTATGTTATCATTGTAAGTCTAATTAAAAAAAGTTGCCCAGATGGGATTGCTGTTGTCATTTCACACAGTCCAAGTTTGTTGACACTTGTCCTCATGTTGACTTGTCTCTGCTGCTTGTATTTCAGACCTGCCACCTGGGATCACTTGGTTTCCATTAGAGGTTTGCCTTTTAGAATGTTCTCCTGATGAACTCTTTTGGTTTTGTTTGTCTGAAATTGTCTTTATCTTATCCTCCTCCTTGAAGGATAGCTTTGTGGAGTATGGTTGTGCTATTTTCCTTTCTTCACTGAAGCAGAGTTCAGTTTCTTCCGGCTTCCACTAGAGTTGAGGATTCAGAATTCCACCACTACCTAACTTCTTGTGAAGGCAATCTGTTTCTTTTCATATGTCTCTTTTAAAGAACTTTTATCTTTGGTTTTTCTGTAGTTTCACTATGATGTTGACATGTGGTTCTCTTTGTTAATTTATTCTTTGTTTTTGCTTTTAGATTTCTGGAATCTGTGGATTAGTGTCTTTCATTAATTTTAGAAAATGTTCAGCCATTGTCTCTTCAAATACTGTTTCTACCTTATTCTCGTACTTCCACCGATACATGATACATGTCACTTCCACCAACATTTCATTGTCCAGAGTGAGTCTCCTGGCCACACCACACTCATGGTCAAAGAGATACAGTCCTGTTGGGTCCCCAGGAGGAGGAGAATAGGGACTTTGTCAAGAGTCCTAAGAGGTACCCGGCCAGCTCAGTCTGTGGAGTGTGTGACTCTTGATCTCAGGGTTGTGGGCTCGAGCCCCATGTTGGGTATAGAGATTACTTAAAAATAAAATCTTAAAAACAAGTCCTAAGAACATCCTGTGTCTCTGTCACCAATATTTGTTTACCTTTTCTCCACACACACAGAACATACTCCCTCCATCTCCAAGGTAGAAAAACCCAAAGTCCTAGTTTAGAGCAGGGAGAAAAACACCTTGGTCAGTATTCGCCGGGAGCTGCTTGCGTCTGGCAGGAACTTATTCTAGAATGCTGGGCATTCTAGTGCTTCCAACCAACCTGCTGCTGTGAGGAAATGAGGGGCTCGGAGAGTCATCCTCACAGTATCCCCATTCCTCCCCATCCCCCTAGGATTAGCTCCTGGTATACTTTGCTGAGAAGGTGTCCTTGGTAAATTGTAACTTTCATTCCATTTATGAGACCAAGTGCCCATTTTCTGCAAGCCTGCAACCAGTATTGGAGGAGATGTGACACTGGCCCTGCGGGGAGTTAACAGGTGCTTTCTATACCCCAAAGAGCATCTGCTCTTCCATACCCCAAAGCCTGGCACGGTGTTTGTGGGTGATGCTGACAGTGCTTTCTCAGTTCTTAGTCCCATAGCCTTTTTCATGCTTATGACCAGGGCTGACCCAGGCACTGAGTAATTCAGGCATGTGTAAGTCTGCAAATGGAGATGATAATGAAAGCACTTCACCCGTCATTGAAATCCACATAATAAGGAATAGGGCATTAGCTATCTCAGCCTTCTTTGTGGCCAAGTACCCATTAGTGTGGCAGGCCAGCATTTAGTCCATTATGGAGAGAGCGAAGGCTGGGCTTGATAATGCTTCTAATGGACATCTTGAATGGTCCGCAAGCCTACAGCCTTCTCCCAGCATCTACTCTGAGCCTGGGACCTGACAGGTTGCTCACCATGGAAACTTGAAGGGAGCAAGGGATGCAGACACACCTATCTAAGCGGCACTTCCCTGGGCCTGTCTGCACCTAGGTGACCAATAATGCAAGTGAGGTCAGATTCTGCTCATTACCCTCCCGCACTTACCATCTTGAGAGGTGCTACCGACAGATGGTAATGCAGGCGTGGAGAGAGAAGGTCACGGAGCATGCAGGAATAATGTTTTCTGAAAATGAACAGTTGTGTGTTTTGGCCAGCCAAGTCAGCACTTGTCATTATGGGGTGGGATGGAGCCATTAGCGGATTAGAGTCACAAGCTTGGAGAGTCGTCTTGCATCAAGACTGGCTTCTCTCCCAGGGCTGGCGTCCCTTCCAGAGCATCCCTGGAGGATGGTCATATGGCGACAGGGAGGTCCCTACTCCGTAGAGAATTTTGCTGTGGGTTTCTTATGCGGAGCCTAGCTGAGTGCCCTCCTCATACCCCTTAGCATCTCAGTGTGAACTCTGTGCCCTCCGCTCTGGGAATATCCTCCAGGACATAGGGATATCCCAGACATGCCAAACTCATGTCATGTGTATGTGGCGCTGGGGTGTGTTCACTCCATTTCTGGCTCCCAGTGTCTCCCTGCATGTCCAGGAGACAGATGTGGACAGTCTACATAGCCCCTCTGAGCACCTGGGTTCTGGCCCTGGGACTTCCCCTACGCTGCCCTCTGCCTGCTGCTTCTTGCTCAAGGCTGCCCTGGTCTCGGCCCACCGGGTTCCTGCTAGCCCCTTTGACTTGAGGACTTTATTGTGAAAACCCTCTCTGTTGTGTGGTGCAGTACTGCTCAAACTGTAACATGCACACGAATCGCTCGGGGTCTTGTTAAGATGCCAGGCTGGGTGAAGGTTTTGGTTCTCTCTGTCAGGTTTATGTGTCAGGGCTGTGCTAGATTTGTAGATGAGTTGGAGCACATTTTATATTTTTCTGCTTTCTGGGTAAACAGCCTAGGAACATTATTGGAAAGTTTGAAAGAACTGCCTTCTAAACTCTCTTGACACCTACCATTTTGGGAAATAGTTCTATGTCCATGTTCAACTTGGTTCCACAGTCTTCTGCTTCTCTTGGCAATTCCCATTTTTCTAGAAAAGCATGCTATTATGGATTGAATTGTTTCCCCCCACCCCCCAATTCATATGTGAAGGCCCTAACTTCAGTGTGATGGTATTTGTAGGGGCCTTTAGGGAAGTAATTAAAGTTAAATGAGATCATAAAGGTGGGGCCCTCATCCAGTAGAACTGGTGTCCTTATAAGAAAAGAATAAGACCCCAGCAGTATCTCTCCACGAGAGCGCAGAGGAGAGGCCATATGAGAACATGGCGAGAAGGGCCCATCTGCAAGCCAGGAAGGGAGGTCTCACCAGAAACCAACCCTGCCAGCACTTTGATCTTGAACTTCTAGCATCCAGAATTGTGAGAAAAGGAACTTTTGTAGTTTAAGCTACCCAATCAGTGATATTTTGTTATGCAACCTGAGCAGACTAATATATAGACATTCCCCACTGAGCATTCTAGATAAACTAGCATACTGTGTATATTTAGTATTCTCTTATAATTTGAAAACTCTTCTCTGCAACTTGGGTTAAATTTCCCTTATTTTTCTAATTTTTATTTATTTTTTATACTCTCTCCTTCTCATGCTTCCTGGCCCCTCCCCGTATTGGGCTTTTACAAGTCTAGATATCTTACAGCTCTTTACAAAGAGCAGAGTCTTTGATTTATCAGGTCTACTGATTTTTATGTTTTCTAGTTCATTAACTTTTACCTTAACTTTTAATTCTCTCTCTAAGTTTATCTTGTTGCTTATTTTCCAGCTTCTTGAATTGGATGCTTCATTTACTTTCTGTCTTCCTTGTTTTATAACAAAAACATTTAGAGCTGCAGGCAGTGTTTAGTTACATTCCCTGAGTTTTCCTACGCAGAGATCCAATTGTCATTATGTTCTGAATGGCCTATAATTGCAGTTTTGTTCCCTTCCTTGACTTGAGTTATTTACGAATAAATTTCTAAGTGATTTAATTTTTTTCATTTATCCTTTTCTTTTTAATTTCTGTTTTTATTGTACTGTGGTCAGATAATGTGACCAAAGAGGATTGCTCATTAGTATCTCTGAGGTTTCCTTGTGACCTTGAATGTCATCAGTTTTAGTCACTTCCTTACAGATGTTTGAATCAAATGTCTTTTCTGTTTGTATGTATTTATTACATGAAACTGGAACATGAGTCCTGCAGGGAGCTGGCGTATTGTATCCCTTTCCTGGGGAATCGCCTTGTCTGTCAACATGATCCAGGAAGTTCTAGGTAAAACAGACTGTACCTTCATTTAGCTCAATGTTTCCAAGCCTCAGTTTCTCTTAATGCCTCATACCGTCTTGAACAGCCAGTTTTCCGTGGAAAGTATTTCAGAGAATTTTGTTTTAAGGTCTACTCTTATTTCTTGAGGGACAACTATTTATGAAAGGTCGTAGTACTCAGGCCCTTCCCTTTGGACCTCCGAGCCCATCCTTGAGTCCCTGTTGCTTCTCTCATTTTAAAGGAACCATGAGAGACTCTTGAAAGCCGAGAACAAACTGAGGGCAGGTGGGGTGGGCGGGAGGGGAAGGGGGGTGATGGGCATGGAGGAGGGCACTGTGGGGATGAGCACTGGGTGTTATATGGAAACCAGCTTGACAATAAACTATTAAAAAAAAATAAAGGAGGTGCCTCGGTGGGAGATGTCTGTGTGTCTCTGTAGGAGGCTTGTACCAGTCTCAGTGCAGATGGGATTTGCTGTCCTTTTGCTTTGTTATCTTGGAGTCCACATTGTCTGAAGCACCCAGTCCAGGAGGGATGCTGCA